GCCGTGACTGGGAGATCAGCGATGGTATGAGGACAGGGAGAAAAGAGACCACAGCGGTCTTCTCCCATAAATCACAGTGGGTCCAGGAAACAATGAATGATGACCAGGGTGTCTGTGGCAGACTCAGAGCGTAGGCCTAGGCTAAGGCAACAGTGCCTGTCAGTTCCACCTGGCCTCTTGTGACGTGCAGGACAGACTCAGTGTGGTCAGGCCATCTGAAGTTACAGAAGAAGCCGGAAATACGGATTTTTATATGAAATCACCTGACCTTTTACTGTTGGCTCAAAAATTTAAAAACATTTTGCAGGCCAAACAAAACACACGTGTGGGCTAGATTTAGCCTGGTTCTTTTCGCCAGCTGTCAGTTCACAGTCTTAAAGGTTTTTTTTTTTTGAGGAACATCCTAACCATGGAAGTTCTGCACAGCGTTGTTCTTGGGAGCATATCATGGGAGCATTCTGGGAGGGCTGGGAATAAGCTAAGAGAGAGACACCAATTCATAGTAGCCCGCACTTCCTGGAGGGCTTTGAGCTCTGTAATTCCTCAATTGCAAAGGAGCTTCACACTTGCCCACAGTCACTGGGGCTGCCTCCAGCCCCGGCTCCCCCTACAGCCCAGTCTGGATATCCAGACTTGGTTTCCAAGCTGCCCACTGCCTGGCCCCCAAAGCAGGGCTTGTTCTAAGGATGCTATGATTGACCTGTAGGCATAGAGTAAGCAAGGAACTTGGGAAGTGGCAAACCTGGCCCTGTGTCACTGTCTTGGCCATGGTCTGAAGCTTATGGCTCTCACTTAGCTGCTGGGAGGAGCCTCTGGGAGAGTGAATCTCAAGCCAAGCCCTTTTAGTCTCTTAACTTTTATTATGGATAATCCCAAATACACACAAAAGTAGAGAAAAATGACATAAAGACCACTCCCCTCCCCCCAGCTTTAACAGTTGTCAGCCAAGGGCCTTATAGCCCACACTTCCCACCATCCATGTGGGATGATATTTACACAAATCCTGGACCACAGATATCTCAGCATGCAACTCTATCAATAACCTCAGTACCACTGTCACACCTAAGAAATGATGTCTAATGCCATCACACATCCAGTAGTGCTCAAATACAGTGCCCTCCCCCTGGGTGGTTTCACTTTCCTCAGTTTCAGTTATCTGAGATCAACTGAATATTAAATTTGAAATCTCTCTCTCTCTCTCTCTCTCTCTCTCTCTCTCGCAGCACTGGGGTTTGAACTCAGAGCCTATACCTTGAGCTACTCCACTAACCCTTTTTTTGTGTGTGTGTGTGCTGGGTTTTTTTGAGATAGGGTCTCAAGAACTATTTGCCTGGGTTGGCTTTGAACCATGATCCTCCTTCTGATCTCTGCCTCCTCAGTAGCTAGGATTATAGGCCTGAGTCACTGGTGCATGAAATTTGAAATTTTCTAAATTGAAATTTTTAGAAATAGAAAGTTAGGGTTTTTTGTTGTTGCTTTTGTGTTTTCTTTTTTTGTCTTGAGAAGGGTCTCACTCTGTAGCAAGGTTGACTTCTAACTTGTGACTCCTGTCTCTGCCTCCTGAGTGCTAGACTTACAGGCATGTGCCACCAAGCCTCGATAAAAATTACTAAGTGTTAAATTCTGTGCTATTACGAGTAACGTAATGAAATCTCAGGCCTTCCCTCTGTGCCCACTGGGATGTAAAAACCATCCCTTTGTCCAGCATAGTCTTGCTGTGTGCACTACCTGCCTATCAATCACTAGCTGTCTGGATTATCTGAGCTATGTTGCAGTATGGCAATACTTGAATATATGGCTCAGCATTAGACTCAAAATCAGGCCTCCCTCAGATAAAGGGGGGCTACTGTAATCCCAGTTGTCTGTTTTATTTTTTAACAGTTTGCATTTGGTTGACGTCTCTTACCTTCTTCGAAGGTAGTTTCCCCTTTATTTTTTCCCTAAGGTATATTTGTCAAAGAGACAAGGTTATTTGTCTTGTAGAGGTTCCCACACCCTGAACCTCTGTAGGTTGCCTCTATCCCCTGTAATTCCCCAAAATGATAGCTACTTGCAGAGGCCTACTTGGTTTTAGGTTTGGGTTTTGGTGAATACATGCAGTGCATGGCGAGGTATTCTTCCATCACATGTCCTTGTCCTCTCTTTTCAGGTGGCCCTGCCCTTAGTAAGGAATCTTTCCAAAGCCAGGGGTGGGGGTGTAATGAGGGAAGGTGCATCAGGTCTCAGGAGAGGGTCTTGCATGCAGAGGTATCCAGAGAGTCCTGGTTGCAGACCCGGTGCTAAGGTGCTAATGGGATGAGGCCAAGTCTCAGGCCTGCTGGGCCTGGGGCACTGAGCCCGGTATGCTGTGCAGTGACTTCCCTGTGCTGTCCGAGATGAGGTAACTTTTCTAGGGGAGAGTAAGAAAGGGATGGAGTGCACTTCTGTAGGAACTAGAGCCATCCGTGTGTGCATCTGTCTGTCTGTCTGTGCCGGTATCCTGTATGTGTATCTGTGTGTATGTTGTGTCTGGCTGTATGTATGTGTCTGTTTCTTTGTGTTTCTGTGAGTGTGTGTGTCCCATATATGTGTTTATATGTGCAGCTGTATCTAGGTATATGTGTGTCTGTGTGTGTGCAGTGAGAACCATGAGTAGGGTTATCAGGAGGGGAGACAAAATGGCAGGCAAACAAGGCAGGAAGAGAACTTTGTAAAAACAGGTGGACCTTGGGTTGGTGGAGTGGCTTAAGCGGTAAGAGTGCCTGCCTAGCAAGTATAAGACTCTGAGTTCAAACCCCAGTCCTACCTCCCCCTAAAAAAAAAAGAATTTATAAGCCAGTAGCTGATGCTTGTAATCCTAGCTACTCAGGAGGCAAAGATCAGGAGGAGGATGACAGTTCAAAGCCAGCCCAGGCAAATTTTTCACAAGACCCTATCTTAAAAAAACCCATCACAAAAAAGGACTGGTGGAGTGGCGTGCCAGAGAGACCAATTAGGTAGATAATTGGGGACACTCCTCATCATGTCTGTGACATGCAGGTAGGGGTCAGGAGGCAATCAGACCAGTCAACCCATTGGGGTGCAGTGTGATTAACTCGCAACTCTTTTCTCATCCAGTCCCCTTGGGGTCACCCCACCCTGGACCTTTTTGGTTTTTTTATATCATATTGTTGTACTGGGGATACATTATGACATTTACAAAAGTTCTTACAATATATCATAGTTGAATTCACCCCTTCATCATTCTCCTCTAACCCCCCACCCCCTGACATTCGAGGTTGCAGAGGTGGTGACTCCTGTGTGCCTTGGGACTCACTGTGGAGTGGACAGAGCTGTCCCTGGAGAAGGAATGAGCAGACCAGATGGTATAGCCTGGGCAGGTGCAGTCTTTTGAACTCCTGCAGGATGTTGAGAGCCTGGGCCCAGAAGCAGGCGTGGGAGAGAAACCTAGACCTGAGGGCGATGTCCAGGCACCCCTCCCTCCTCTGATATGGCTGGCCCTCCCTGGAGGCAGGGATGGGAGGCTTCTCAACAGCCTCTAGGCATCTCCATCCCAAACCAGATCTACCTATCTTTCTTCTTAAAACAAAACAGCATTTATGACACTTGCCTGATTACAAAAACATTTTAGGGAAATTAGGAAACTCAGAGAAAATTAGTAAGTGTGCAGCTTCATTCAGAAATAACAAGCCTTACTTCTGCATGTGGCTGTGGCTGCTGCCTCTGAAAGCTGGCCTGCTTCCCAACTGTCATCCCCCAGCCCCAGCACAGACACGTTCCACCCATAGCTGAGGCTTGGCACACAGTAGGTGGGCAAGACATGCTTGTGCAATGTGTGGTCTTGCCCTTCCCTCTCCTTTTACAGGTGGGGAAACTGAGACCTGGAAATATGGATGGTCTTGGGGAGGACGGTGGCATTTCAGGGGTTCCAGTTAGTGATCACCAGCCTCTGGGAAGACTAAGGGTGGGTGGGAGCCTCAGCAGGGGATGAGAGATGTGGAAGGGTCCCATTTATACATTATACACCCATCCTTAACCCCTCCTGACCTAGCTGCCAACACCAGGCTCCCTGCTGGAAAGAGGAGCTGAGGTTCCCTAGCCCTGTGTCCAACTCGGCCCTCACTGTTACCCCAAGTCCATGAATGTTCAAGCCACCAGAGCCTCCAGCTGACCAGACCAGTGGCTAAGTGCTGTGCCCAGCACTTGTGGTTCATGATCTCTCCCTCCTCAAATATTGCAGTCCCCAGCCCTGGTGACTCTCTGCTGTCTGCCCCAGCTCCCTGCCTGCCCCTCCTCTGTCTTTCCCCTTGGACCTCCTTCAAGGGTAGCTGGAAGACCAAAAGGGGATAATGCAGGACCTTTCCCTGAAAAGGGTAGGGCGCATTTTTTCCCCCCAGGTCCCTCCAGACACTCAGCCCAAACTCCAGATAAGGTAGGCAGGTCATAGTGCACTCACGTGCACCAAGGCCATTGTCACCCATCCAGTGTACTGGTATAATCACATAGCCAGGTGTTCTTCATCAGTGACCTAATGCTAACCTCCTTGCCACTCTTTGAGGAAGTCGTTTTCATTACCCGTATTTTCCAGATGAAGAAACTGAGGCTCTGTGAGGTTAAGCAACTTGTGGAAGGCCACAGAGCTAGGGAGGGGCTTAACTGTGCCCCGGCGAGGTGGGTCTGTCCTGTGCGCCCAGCAGCACGGACACACGCACCCTACACACACCGCACCGGCGCGTGCGCCGGCCGACCCGTGGTACCCAGGCCTGGCGACACACACCCTCTGACACTCAGACACGACACGCCCCTCGGCCTGGCAGGCCCCGCCCCTCCAGCCCCGGCTCCGTTCTGCCCCGCCCCCGGCCTGACCTCAGCGGGGCCGGGCCGCGGGCGCAGAGTGCAGGCGGCGCCGAGTCGCGCGGGCCGCGCAGCCGCCCCCGCCGCGCCGCCGCGCCGGGCCGGCCCCGCGCCCGCGCCGCCCCGGTCCCGCGACCCGCCGGCCGCCCGCGCGCCGCGAGCCTTCCATGGTGCAGCGCATGTGGGCCGACGCGGCCGGGCCCGCGGGCGGCGCCGAGACGCTGTTTCCGGGCTCCCGGCGGAGCCGCAGCGTGTGGGACGCCGTGCGCCTGGAGGTGGGCGTCCCCGACAGCTGCCCGGTGGTGCTGCACAGCTTCACGCAGCTCGACCCGGACCTGCCGCGCCTGGAGGTGGGTGACCGGGCCGCCCCGGGAGAACCGGACGGGGGGCCGGCGTCCTGAGCTGGCCACCTCCCTGCAGCATAGGGGCGGGGGGGGGTTCCTTCCGCAGAAATCCCCCTGCTTGCTCCAACGCGGAGGCAGCAAGGTGGGCATGACGGCTGCCACCACGCCCTGGCCAACAGTTAGGGACCGGAGCTGGCTTTTCGTGTGCTCCTCAGTTCGTCCGAATGCCTGCCCTCAAGGAGCTCAGGTGTGGCAGATCTCAGCCCCTGCAGTGACAGTGAAGTGAGCCTTTTCCCGCGCGGTGCTGTCACTGTGTTTACGTCTGTGGCCTATGAACTTCCCAACCGCAGGGGCCTGGTCTTATGTCACTCCCTTGCCAGCCCGGGCCTGCACTCGTGAGGCTTCACAGTGCAGGTGTCCAGCAAGTAGTTGTGGTGGCGCAATCTTAGACACCCCGATGATGATTGGGATTCCAGAGGCCTTCAGAACAGCCCTCCTGGGTAGTAGATGTGGAAGCAATAACCAGGGAGACATCGGGGCTGCTCACAGAGGGCAGGGAAATGAAGCGAGAGAGGCCAACCAGTCCCTCCAACCTGTGGGACCAGGTGTATTTGACTCATTTCTGCCTGATTAGAAAATGTGCCGTCACCCTGAATTTGTAAGGATTTGGGAGGATTCGGAGGAGGGCTCTTGCCTGTCATGAATGGAGGTGGGAGTAACTAGGGAAGGGCTGGGGTGATGCCGTCCACCTCCTGCCCGGTGGTGCACCTGACAGGCAGCCCCCTCACCCTACTCTCTCTAGACAGAGCCTGGACAAAGCGTGTTTTTCTGCCCTGCGTGGGAACTCTCAGTGGGGGAACGCCAGGCCGGAGAGGCCTCCCGAGCTTGGCAGGTGTCATAGCCAGGCCTGTTCCCTGACCCTCATCCATCCAGTACTCTGGTCCTCCTGGCTGCTGGCGTAGGACCCCTGGGACATGGGGGTGGGAAGCCTGCCACCAGCCCTGCACTCATCTGGCTTTCATTATGTCTGGCAGCGCCTCGGGCTTTGTGTGCTGAAAGGGTCTGGCCTGAGCGCTCGCAGGGGCCCTGCTTGTTCCTGGCTAGGGTGGGGCTGTTTCACTCTGGCTCTGTCAATCTGCATCCCTGAATATCCAGAGGTTCCATCCCTGCCCATCCATCCCTGCCCAGGCGGCTGCTCTCAGTCCATCTCTGCTCTCCCTGCCCAGGCCTCAGCAGGGAGATGCAGCCTTGGCCACTGTTTAGAAATCAGAAGGGAAGCTTCTGGCTGGGGCAGGAAAACCAGGGTCCTGGCAGGAGAGGAGGCCACTGCCGGAAACTGAACACAATGAACATTTAGCATTGGTCTGGGGGAGGGGGTGGGGAAGTCCCTGTCCCTCCTGCCAGTTACCCACCATCCTGGGGCTGATTTCCTAGTGGCAGTAGTTTGCCAGAGCCAAAGTGGCCCTGCTTGAGGTCCCTGTCCTCTCTGGAAATCACCAGGCTGTTTGCCTCCCCTCCTCCATCACTATTGCCATCAAACTGCACCGTCTTTCCCTCTCTGTGATGTCAGATGTCCTCACCCATCTGGGCATCTACCTGCCATCTCACTTCTAAGCCAAGCCACCATGCACCCAACTTGACCTTCCCCTTCTCCATTCTGTGCTTTCTCGAGGTCATCTGTCTCGAGGTCATCTTCTTGCCTGTCAGGCAAGAAGAGTTTGCTGGTCTGCCTGCTCATTCCACCAGGCATCGACCAACCTACGTAGTAGGTGCCAAGCCCATATCTAGGAGACTGGAGGGCAGAAAGGCACATTCCCTGACCTCAGCAAGAAGTGTCCCAGCCAGGACTTGGGCATGGGCTATATTCCCTGTGGGGTGTATACTGCATCAAAGAGCTGTCAGGAATCAGAGGAGGACAGGGCAGAGCTGGCTAGAGGACCATAGAGATGGGGCAGGGCTAGGCAGCCCAGAAGGCTCTGGTCAGGTGAGGAAAAGGGAGGTTTATTTATAGTCCAGGGGCAGGTGAAAGTGCTTCAGGTCAACGAACTCTTGGGGTAGCTTCCAGGAGGAAGCACACTCTTTGCTACTTTGCTAGCTGGAGCCACAGGTTTAACCTAATAGCTAACAGGAGAGAGGGCTTTGTGGGAGGCCCTGTGCTGGGTAATTTGCATGTACGATGTCCTTTGGGGCTCAGGACTATTAATAGCCCATTTGACAAATAAAATAACCAATTAGATTGTACCAAATCAGCAAGCTGGACCACAGTAGAGGCAAGGTTGCCTGTGAGGCCTTCAGGCTATATGAGTGGGACACAGTAAGAGAGGCTTCTCCCTCTGGTTGTCTGGTCTCTTGATCATATATGTGCAGCTCTTCAGACTAGCCCCAGGGTTCTTTGGTACCTGAAGATCCAGAAGCATGGCCTCAGGGGCCTCTGTGTGTGTGTGTGTGTGTGTGTGTGTGTGTCACATGCTGTAATCTTCCAGGTGGGGTACCTGGCTAAATCCAAAGGGCAGCACCTGGGATTTTTGGTACATGTCAAATTCAGGAGGGGACTGACTCACTGCTGACACCTCAGAACCTTCCTGCCCACCTCTTGCTTTATTCTTCATGGGGCCCAGGAGAACAGGAAGGGGCCAGATTGACTGGTACTAAGTCCTCTTTCCTTGTCCAGGTTGAGGACACTTGAGCATGCTGACCAGTTTCCTGGGAGAGTCAGGGTAGCTGTGACTCAGGAGTGAGTGGTGGGGAACAGCGCTGGGAGATATTAGGCTGTGCAGTTGGGCCGGAGTCTGATCCTCAGTCAGGAGATTGGACAGAATTTTCATGCCCTGTCTGTGCTGCAGGGGAGAACAGGCCAGATAGCTTTAGCACTGGCCCATGGCAGTCTGGCTCCGAAGCAGTCAGTGGGGGCGGTTTCAGAAGGCTGCACCCAGATGGATCCCACAGCGTGGCACCATTTGCTGTGGCCACCCTGTCCCTAGGTTGGGCCTCCCTCCAGTCCTGCAGGCCCGGAAAAGCTTTGTTCCCAGACACTCACCTCCAGAGTAGCTACTCTCTCAGATCCAATTCTGAAAAGACCGTATCATAGCCTGAAGCCTGGTGCAAGAGGAGCTGAGCTTTGAGCAGACTTGATTCTCCTGGGAAGGGCTGACAAGCAAGGGCTGCTCAGGGAGCAGGGCAGTGGGACCAGGACTGCACTCAGTGGGCTGTGGGTGTTGGGTTGGCATCTTCTTTTCCCTTGGATGCCTTTACAGCCTGTCTTGCAGTCATGCCTGAGTATTGTCCTTTTGAACCATAAGGCAGAGAACAAGCTTGATCCCTGGAGGGAAGACAGCTGCACTACAATGGCAGCTTAGCCCCTTTGAGACCTAGACCTCTCCTGCCCTCTGAGCCTCAGTTTCCTCATCTGTACAGTGGACACAGTGCCAGCTCATTCTCTTAGGGCTCTAGTATGGAACTGAGTGAGATAGGCAGTCTAACAAGTAGTCCACACAGTGTGTGGCACAGTGTCAGAGTGTGGTATTGGCCACAGTTAGGGTTTCTGAGCAGGTGGCAGAGGAGTGGCCTAAGCCTTCTGAGTGCCCTTTTCCTGGGTTCCTGGGACACACTGCCTAGCTCCATCAGCATCACGCTTCCCAGGCCTGATTCTTACAGCTGACCTCTGCTGTGGTGTGTCCCCAGGTAGTGTCCACAAACCTCTGTTCAGACATGCAGGTGTGAAAGCGCTAGCCCAACCACCCTCCTACTTGCCAAGTGACCTGAGGAAGTCCTTCTTGTCCCTGGATCCTGCTCTGAGGTTGTGACTATGGTAGAAGCAGCAGCCAGGCCTGGGTGTGTCCCCACAGGCCAAGGTTCAAATCCCTCTCCTGAATGTTTTTCCTGTCTCCTACCTGGGGGCATCTCTGCCAGACTTGTTTCCTTTTCCACAGGCAGGGTGTTAGGAGAATTAAATGCAGTAAGTGTGCTAGGGAGTGCTGCATGCATTGGATGCTATGGTCAGAGGGTGGTGTTGGGTCTGGATCTTTAGCTACCACCAGCCACACCCTCTCCCAGGCTTGGCCCTGTGGTGGCCTGACACTAGTCAGTGGTAAACAAACAGGAGAGCAAGGTGGACAAGGCCAGTGCCTGCTGAACTAGAGGGCTAGGTGTCCCCCAGCTTGAGGCACACTTTCCTGCCCGTGAAATGCATATGTGGCCAGTAGCAGGGCTCAGGCTGACAAGGAGGGTTCCAGGAGGTGTAGGTCAGCCTCTTTGAGGGCTCAGCACAGGCTGGTTCACAGACTTCCCTTTCTGGGGTCTTGGAGCTCCCTTGTTGCCAGGGCAACCAGGTACCTATACAGTCCCCAGCTGAGTCTGCCTCTGTGGGCTTCAGTACTTGGGGAGGGCTGACCCTGTGTCCCTACAGGGGTCCTTTTCATACCCTGGGAGCAGGTTGGAGGGTCATGATGCTTGGTGTTTTCACTTTCCTTCCCTTGCTGAGGCTTATGGTCTGGGATCTGAACCAGGACTTGGGTTCTCACCTCAGCCTGGATACTCTGCTTAGCACCCTTCCCTGGGCCTCTGTCTCTACCTCAGTAAAATGGGAGGGGTGCTCTGCCACCATGGACCTGAACAGAATGGTATCAATCCCCTGAGAGCCAGCAGGCCTGACGGTCCCTTGTTTTAGTTGCTGCATTCCAACCAAAGGCTAAAGATGCTCCCACTGCAGTGTTTTTGTTGAAGCACTCTCCTCCAAGGTTCCCAGAGTCCTAGATGGGGCCGCAGTCAGGCCTCCCTTGGGGTTCATCGCCAGCTCTGTGGTGTGTCAGGTGTTGCCCATCACACTCAACAAGGTGTAGCTCCTCTTCCTGTCACCTGGTAGAGAGCTGTTACTATTCTCCATGCTAGCTGGCTATGAGTCAGGACCCTCATGAGGGGTGGTGCCCAGGTCTGGTGGGTCCTGGAGAAGGACCCTATGTGCCCAGGGCCTCAAGTTGTTAGCAAGGGACCAGCAAGGGCTCTCAGATGACTTCTGGTGACTCAGTGACCCTGGGAAGTAGCCCAGGCGGGTGCAGTGAGATTTACAGCCAACAGGTCCTGCCCTAGTGGGACTGACGATCTGCATGTGCAGGGAGAAACCATGATTCAGGCTTGTGTCCTTCTTGCTTTGCCTCGGCCCTCAGCCAGGAGGCAGCCCATGTGTGGCTGGAGGCACAGGGCGTCCTGGCCCTGGTTGTAGCTTCCACGGGCGGTGTACATGGGGCAGGGAACAGAACCACAAGGGTCACAAGGAAGGGAGAAGATGTCACCTCAGCATGTGCAGGTGGGAGTGCTTTCTGAGGGAGATGACAGGACTGGGGCAGGCCTCACGGGGCCCCTTATACCCCTGTTCTACCTCAAGGGACTGTGTACTAGGCTGCAGCTCCCTCCTTCAGTCAGCTGAGGACACCCATCCTGTTGGCTCATCACCCTGAAAATGCTGATCAGGTGACACCACCCAGGCCATGCTTCCTTTTCCCATCCTGGAAGCTCTGGGCCATGTCCCCAAGTACAGTGATGTGTGGGGATCCTTGCTCACCAGGGCCCCAGGGACACCTCCACTCTCATTCTCCTGACCCAAGTATGTTTCTGGGGACAGCTGCAGACTGGGTGCCAGGACCCTGGGGATATCGTGTGTGCTGTGAGTGGGATGGGAGGACATAGCCAGCCATGTGGCATTCTTCTCTAAGAGCTCAGAGCGGCTGCCTGGACGCTTGCCCTTGGGGAAGGCATTTTGTTTGTATCAGCTGTTTACTAGGCTACTCCCCTCCTCCCCCTCAGACCTCCCCAGTCTGCCAGAGTATCCCTAGGGACCTGGCATTGCCCGCATGGGTTGTGTGCTATGCTAAGAGGGCATCCCAAGGTGGTCTTTGGTTTCCTGATTCCTGCCCTTCCTGCCCAAGAGAGTACTGAGGCAGATCCTTTGGCTGCTTTCCTTCTCTGTCCCTGGAAGGGAGCAGCGGATAGAGGCTCCACTCTGCTGCTTTCTGCCCTGGACTGAGGCAGCTCACTGAAGCCCACAGCTCAGTCATCTCTGTGTAGCTGGTGTGAAGTGGTGCCTGCACTCAGCATTGCTCCAGTGGTCTGGTTTCATTGCTGCCTCTGCTGCTCTTTTGTGAAAGAGCCAGAGAGGATAGGGTTAGCTCCGCACAGGCTGGAGCAGCTCCCCATCTGTGTGACACAGTGGCAGCTTCCCCCATGGCAGGCATGTGTGGCTCTCAGCACCCACCAGCACCTCCTACCCCCACCCGGCTAACAGAAGGAGCCCCTGGGGGGTGGGGGAAGGGCTCAGGGATCACATGACACCCATGCACAACTCCGGCCAGCTGTTGGGCTGCCAGCCTAGGCTGATGGCTCACTGAGGAGCCGCTATTTAGACCTGCTGTGGAATGGCTGAGGCCTCCTGGCCTCAACTGCTCCTGTGGATTGGCCTAGCTGGGGCCTAGCTGCTTCTGGCCATCAGGCACTGATGGAGCCCTGCTGGGAGCTAGCACTGTGCTGGGTTCCCGAGACCTAAAGTCCAGTGCCTCTGTCACAGGTAGATCCTGCATGAGACCCCTACACTGCTGGTTACAACTTGAGTATTGGACAAATGTGACTGGAAATGCTGGGTAAGGGAGATTCTTCCAGTCCAGCCTTGACCTCTCACCTCTGAGGATGCATAGTGACCCTGGTCCTCCTTGCCTCTGAAGCTCGTCTCCTCCAGGACAGTTTTTCTAGACAAGGGGAGGAAGAGAGTGCCTGTTCTCTTTTTCCTGACTCTGGTGGGAAGAAGTTCCCCTCACCAGGCGAGGGCTGCTTAGGGTGCGTGGGTGTGTCTGCACCTTCCCTGCTGACTTCCAAGAAACAAGGTGGCCCTCTCTCCAGAGAGGGTAGAGGGTCACAAACCCAGTGGGATGTCCACAGCTTTCCTGTTGGTACAAAGCCCAGAGTGTGAGGCTGGCCTTGGGTCAGAGGAAGTGGACTTCCAGAAGACAGGTCTCAGATCTCCAGAGCTCTTTTGAGGGTGGGCAGGAGGCACGAGGCCCAGAGTACAGCCCACAGCGTGCTGTGCTCCTGGCTCCTGTCCAGGTCCCAAAGAGCTGGTGGGACCCAGGCTAAGTCAGCACCTTCACCTGGGCCTACCAGGTTCTGCACCCACCTGAGAAGGCAGTGGTCAGTGGTCCCTGGACTGCCATTGGGTGTATAGGCCAAGGCCCTAAACTAGACTTACAGTTCACAGCTGAACTTTCAGAAGTCGGTATCTTCCCATCTCCCCCACTCCCCCACATAAGCATGCCCTGTCCCTAGATGGCACAGGCGGGAGGGGCTGAGAAGCCTGGTGGCCATGGCCGTGTGGCCTTGGCCAGCCCTGCAGCCTGCTCAGCCCTCTCATGTAGTGGGCTATCTCCTAAAACAAGGACCTTTCCTTTCTGCCTTGGAGTCTAGGGAGCAGCCAGATGACCCCTTCCTGTTTCAGCCAAGGCCACATGGTTTGGGGGTTCTGTGGGACCCCTGTTCACATCTACCCCACTCACGTGAGGAGGAGCAGCAAGCTGGGAGCCCCTCTGTTGCCCAAACGGGCACAAGGGGATGAATGAGCAGAAGGGGAAGGAAGTAGCCTCAGATGTGGTAGTCAGGGACACCCCACATCTGCTCCAAACACATAATGCTGACTCCAGGGCTGGGCTAAGAGGAGGTCCCCGCTGCTGCTAGGTCATCGGGGGACCCATGGCTGGACAGAGAGAGATGAGGGTAAGGGTGATTCCTAGCCTCAGGCCCTGAGGAGGTGGTGACTTCTTTCGAGGCCACCTGCATCTAGATGGCTATGTCAGAGCCTTGGGGTCATGGCTCCACCAAGGTCAAGACAGCTTGACCTCGAATCAGTTATTCCATTTGTAGCCTCCACTTACCCTTCTGTGAAATGACTGAATAACAGTACCTGTTTTGGAGAGAGGATGGGATGAGGGACAGGCCAGTTCTGAGCAGGGACAAGTTGTTGGAGCATTGGAAACATGGGGGGGGCCCATCATGTTCCCACCCTAGGTCATGACCGGATAGGAAGGGGAGCACTGGGCCTTCTGCTCTGATGCTCTCATTTCACTCAGCTGGAGGTCTGTGCAGCCACCTGTCTGTGGTTTCTCTGGAGAACAGAAGGTTGCACAGGGCCAACTGCATGTGGCAGTGACCCTTCGTATCTCGGCACTGTCTTTGCAGAGCTCCACACAGGAGATCGGCGAGGAGCTGATCAACGGGGTCATCTACTCCATTTCCCTGCGTAAGGTTCAGCTGCACCACGGAGCTACCAAGGGTCAGCGCTGGCTTGGGGTGAGTGCAGGTGTGGGATCTCCACCTTAGCCCAGGCTTTTTCCCAGAGCTTTCCTGCTTGAAGACGCCAGTCCCTATCACAGAGGACTCTAGGCAGACATTGCCTCCCCCACTCCGCAGTCCAGCCCCACACCTGGCTAGGTGCAGAGTCCTTGCTGGCATCTATGTCTCAACGTGAGAGGAGACACCATTTAGTTTTCATTTCTCATTTCGTGTAAGGCCAAGAGGGCTTGTACATTTGGCTACAAGTTTTCTGGGTTTAATCTCTGTCCTTAGGCGTCCCATTTAGCCATCAGTCTGGTAGGCCTGCCACAGCTTTTTCCAGTCTTACATGCAGTCTCACATAGCAGGGTTGTCCCTTACCCTAAAAGAACAGGAGTTTAGGGTATTACGTGCAACTTGTCTCCCAGAACCCATCCCCAGAGCCTTTCTGGGTAAAAGCAGGGGCGTGATTCACCTGTGTAATATTGCAAAAGGGAAGCCCCTTGCCACAGCCAGTCAGCCCCGCTGCTGTTATATGGTGATATGATTCCTTTCTGTGGCCTCTGCAGTATGGAGGAATGTCCTACATGTCCTGTAGGCTGTCCCACCTCTCCAAACAAGCCTCTGTCTTCCCATCTTCAGGACACGGTGTTTCTCAGGACTCCCTTGGATAGAGCCCTTAGTTATTTGAGACACCATTGTACTCAGCCTGCAAATTGCCTGAAGATTTCAGTATTTTTTATTATTTCCACACTTGAGATTCAACGTTTAAAGCAGAGATGCTTTTCCTACTGGAGACATGCATGTCCAGCTCTGGCTGCAAGCCACAGAGGACTGGCGCTAGTCTGAGCTCCAGCCTCTGACCCTCCAGGAAGTGCTTGGTGCTGCCACTGACTGCCCCTCCCCTGTTACCCAGTGTGAGAACGAGTCAGCCCTGAATCTCTATGAGACCTGCAAGGTGCGCACTGTAAAGGCTGGCACTCTGGAGAAGCTGGTGGAGCACCTGGTGCCCGCCTTCCAGGGCAGCGACCTTTCCTACGTCACAGTCTTCCTGTGCACCTACAGAGCCTTCACCACCACCCAGCAGGTGCTGGACCTGCTATTCAAAAGGTGAGCACCACCTCCAAGCCCAGGGCACTCCCCACCTCTTGGCTGAGCCTTGGGAATGTCCTGTACCTCTCTGTACCCCAGTTTGATTGTGGGAACTGGGGTGATCAGAGGACCAAGCTGAAGCCAGGGCCAAGTGCAATGAGCCTTGGAAATGCTTGACCAGGCCTGGCCCTGCTGAGTGGGCTGCCCAGGGCTGTGGCCTCTTCTGTGTGACTTCCCTCCCCTTGAAAGAGCTCTTGGGCCTCGGTTATCTGAGGCCTCTGGCAAAGCAGTTTTCCCATTTGTAAAGGAGGTTCCAATTTTCATGGGGGGCAGGGGGTGGAGTCCCTGACTGAGATGGAGCCAGAACAGGTAACCCTAGTGATGGACTGAAGTCCACTGAGGGAAGGAGCTGGTCAGGCTCAGTCACTGCACAAATAGATAGAAAGGAAGCACCTGCTGTGTGCAGATGCGTTTCCAGGCCCTTAGCACAACTCAGTGAAAAGAGCAGGAAAACCCCTGCCATCCTGGGCTCCATTCCCGTGGGGGAGTCGGCCAGTAACACTAGACGTCATAAGCAGGTACGGTAGATGTGACGCCCTCACGGCCTCCTCTAGATATGGCTGCATCCTCCCCTACTCCAGCGAGGATGGCGGACCACAGGACCAACTCAGAAAGTGAGTGGACTTTGGGACAAGGGGGTGGGTACCTGTCTCCAGAGTGGGGCAATTAGGGGACTGGGGCTGGGCTGGGAAGGGCTGGGAAAACGCTGGGTCCTACACCTCATGTGAGAGCTGTGGTCTGGGGCCTCACGTGTAAGAGGAGGAAGATAGCTGTGGGTGTCCATAGAAGGTGGGGAGCTGAGGGGTGACTGGGGCCAACAGATGGGATGCCACCAGGACCTTACAGATGCCAGGCAGGACAAGTCCTCATGGAGCTAACATGCCAGTGGGGAGGGGCTGGAGACAGAGGAGTGTGTGGAGCCTCCCTGAAGAAGGGAGCTGCTCTCGCTGTTGACCCAGGGCTCCCTCCCATGGAGGCCCTCTGCAGCCCCTGCCTGGCTGCTCTCTGGGTGGACAGGGACAGGCCCAGGAGCCCAGCTTCCATAGGGGTGCCTTGGGGGAGGGAGGGGCCAGGCATCTGATGCTGCTGCCCATCCATCTGTTCCCAGCGCCATCTCCTCCATCCTGGGCACCTGGCTGGACCAGTACTCAGAGGATTTCTGTCAACCTCCGGACTTTCCCTGCCTCAAGCAGCTGGTGGCTTATGTGCAGCTCAACATGCCTGGCTCAGACCTGGAGCGCCGTGCCCACCTTCTCCTGGCCCAGCTGGAGGACCTGGAGCCCAGCGAAGCTGAGTCTGAAGGTGCGGAGCTGGGATGGGAAAATAGATGTGAGAAGGGGTGGGTGCTGGGCCCCAGAGGGAAGAGGCTCCAAACCTGATGCTAGGCCAGGAGCAAGAACAAACCTGGGACCCCACAGGCAGTGGACCATGTCTGGGAAGGAATCCTGCTGTGGGAGTTCTCAGGCAGGCAGGGGCCTTCTTTGCTTTTGGAAGGGCTTAGGGCAAGGCAGTCATGTGGGGATTTGTCTCCTCCTGCAGCTCTGTCACCAGCTCCTGTGCTAGCTCTAAAACCAACTCCAGAGCTAGAGCCAGCTCCAGCACTGGCTCTGGCACCCAGCCCTGTGGCAGCACCAGCTTCACGTGCAGAGCTAGAGCCAGCTCCAGCTTCAGAGCCAGAGTCAGATCTAGCACCTGCTCCGGAGCAAGAACCGGCTCCAGTGCCAGCTTTAGAGCCTGAGCCATCTCGCACACCTGCTCCAGAGCTGGAGTTGGCTCCCTCACAGACTGTAGAGCCTGAACCAGCTTCGGTGCCAGGTCCATCAGGAGAGCCTTCCTGGCTTTCACGTGTGGCCACAGAGAACGGGCTGAGTGAGGACAAGCCTCACCTCTTAGCATTCCCTCCCGACCTGGTGGCAGAGCAGTTCACGCTGATGGATGCGGTGAGTGGCTGGGCAGGACGGGGGTGGGTTCCCTCCAGACTTTGCTGCCCAGACCAGCTATTCACTGCTCCAAAGTCAGTGCTTCATTCAAATCTCAGCTCCACAGTTGCAAATCCTGTGACAAGGGCAAGTTTCCTAACCCGGAGGCCTCAATTCTTCTCTGGACAATAAAAATGGGATTCCCACACATCCCCCTAGTGACTGAAGTTTCAAGAACCTAAGACAAACAGAAAGGGTGACCAGGCCTGGCTTGGGGTGGGTGGAGATAGAGGGGTAGCCAATGTGTAGCCAGGCCCATGAGTCACCATCATCTGCCAGGAGGCTACTCCAGCCTCTGCACTCATTAGGCACCTGATATGTACCAGATCCCAGGCAGGCACAAGATGGGCCCATAGTTGCAGGAAGTCTGCTTGTGGACCAGCAGGCAGGCATGAGACGTGCTGTGAAGAGGGCAGAAGGTGCCACCTGGGACGTTTAGGCATGACCCATTTTCCGTTGTGTGGACTGAGGTTGGGTAGGGGAAATGTTCCCTTCATTTCTTCCTGGGTCACTCATACTGGATGCACTTAGGGGTCAGAGAATAAAACCCAGAGACTCCCACAAGGGCTTGAATCAAGTCCTCGGCTTCCTGAGCTTCAGCCTGTACCACAGGACTCCAGCCTGGGCCTGGGGCTGTGGTCTAAGGCAGGGCCAGGTGACACTGACCCCTCTTCCCCAGGAACTGTTCAAGAAAGTGGTGCCTTACCACTGCCTGGGTTCCATCTGGTCCCAGCGGGACAAGAAGGGCAAGGAGCACCTGGCACCCACCATCCGTGCCACCGTCACCCAGTTCAACAGTGTGGCCAACTGCGTCATCACCACCTGCCTTGGGGACCAGAGCACGAAGGCCCCAGACAGGGCCCGAGTGGTAGAGCACTGGATCGAGGTGGCTAGGGTAGGCTGCAGGAGTGGCCTGGGGACCCCTCTTCACCTTCTCTCTTGAAGATGTGGGCTGTGGTCAGAATCCCTGCACTGGACCTCAGGTCCCTCCTGCTCAAAGCCATGCTGCCCGGATGCTTCCAGGCCACTGCCTGGGCACAGTCCCTCCTCACGCTCTGCCCTTGGGGTGAGCTGAGTCCTGCTCTCTTACCCTTGGATTGTGGCTGTGACCTCCCAAGCATACCACCATGCATCTCCTTAGAAGATGCTTGGCCTCCTCCAAGGGTCTGAAGAGCAGCAGGAGCTCCAGCCATGGCTTACATGGTCCTCTTCCCTAGGAGTGCCGCGCCCTGAAGAATTTCTCCTCCCTCTACGCCATTCTCTCTGCTCTGCAGAGCAACGCCATCCACCGCCTGAAGAGGACATGGGAGGAGGTCTCTAGGTGGGTGTCTCTCTCTGTAGGAGCTCTGGGTGTGCAAGGACCTGGTATCTTCCCTGGTGAAGCCCCAGCTTCAAAGTCCAAGGACAAGGGCACTGGGAGGAGCACTGGGAGGTTGCTCTAGTTGGCAAATCTACAGCCAGGCTCAGCTTGTCATCAGGCACCGGGTGCAGCCACATGAGAGACCCTCACGTATTTACGTTGTAGCCACAGAACTCTGTCCAGTTGAAATCCAAACGTAACTGCACAGTGGAAGTGGGCGGGGCCTTGGGCAGCAGAAAGGCACTGCCCCGGGCCCATGGGTTCTTAGGGTCAGTGGAACCATTTGTAGCCCTCTTGTCTAGGCAGTTGGAGTCTTGGTTCTAAAACAAAGTGGAGTCACACTCCCGCCCTTCTGCTCACTTTTCCAACTGTCACCTGTCTGCCCTTCCTGCAGGGACAGCTTCCGGGTGTTCCAGAAGCTGTCGGAGATTTTCTCTGACGAGAACAACTACTCCCTCAGCAGAGAGCTGCTCATCAAGGTAGGGAAGGTGGCAGCAGACAGAGGAGGGGCGGGGCCCTTAGCTCCTCACTGAGAGTGAGTTTGAAAAACTCCAGGGAAGAGGGGTCTACTTGGCCCTTGGCAGGTGAATGGCAATTTGAGGAACAGGAGGCCCCAGTAATCGTGCGTTCCAGGAGCACAAATGAGCAGACAGGAATAGGGGTCTCCAGCTTCCTGATAGGATTTAGCACCAGCCAGCCTATTGGATGGGATATGGTTGCCTTCCTCAACCCAGCCCAACCCGTCCCCACAAAGCCAGGACCCTCCAGCCCTCTTTGTGGGCTACACATCCCAGGGGAGAGGCCTGCTAGGGAACGGGGGGCAGGGATGCCCGGGACCAGCCAGCCGCAGAGGCACGGCACAGGTGTTGGGTCCAAACGTCCAGCCCCAAGATGTAGCTCTGGGGGTACCATGTGGTATCACACTCTGCCCTAGAGCAGAAGCTGCTGATGGTCACAGACTCTGCGGGAGTCTACCATGCTCCTCAGAGCCGTGAAGAGCCCAGGTGGCTTAGCAGTATCAGGGACTGGTGAACTCACTGGGGGGCTTTCCTGGTCCTCTCCAGAATCTTTCATGTAAAACAGAAAGCAGAGCATCACTGCCCTGCACACATGGCATACCGTTTGGCACGAATGGCCTCTGGGGAGCTCCTGGTCCTGAGTGAACAAAGATAGGCTTCAGCCAGGGAACATCAGAAGGGGCTCCACTGAGATAGGAAGTCTTTGGCATGGCCGCAGGCCCTACCTGGGGTCAGAGATTCTGGTGGGTCTGGGGCAGGTTGAAGTTTAAAATACCTGTCCCTCTCCCTTTGTAGCTCTGCTCAGCTAGGGACCCTAGCACATACATTAGGGGTTACAGGGCAGGATTCTGGTCAGTGGCCATATGGGCACTGAAGATCTCCCCCTGAGCACCTGCAGAGCCCTAGGCAAGTTGCCATTCATCTCTGCGCCTCTTTGGGCAAATAGAAGTTGGTGAGCCTCGGGTGCTGACCTCCTGGGAGGATGCACGGAAGCTCTGAGCAGGGCCTGGCCACGGGCACAAGTCAGCACAGCACCAATGGCAGGAAGCAGCCATTGAGTCTTCCTGTCCCCATGAGGCAGGTGTACTCTCATCTGTACCTTGTAGATAAGGAAACGGGCACAGTGAGATAAGGGAACCAGTGTGGGGTCCCCACTAGTGAGTGCTGGAGCAGGGCCTGATCTGGAGTTGACGTGTGGGTGACATGAACATTGGTGTAGCCAACCAGGGGTCCTCCAGGCCCAAGACCAGGGCACTGGATGGGGGAGAGGTGAGAGGAGGAAGTCCTCATTCACTCCATCCTCAACCCTGGCAGGAGGGGACTTCCAAATTTGCCACCCTGGAAATGAATCCCAAAAGAGCCCAGAGGCGGCCGAAGGAGATGGTAAGTAACAGTTCCCAAGGCTGGGGCTGCCAGGGAGCAGAAGAGGGGCCTCCCCCAGCCATTCCCCACCTGTTGTCCTACTACCTGAAATGCCCTATCAGGTTTGGCTTGTGGACCTTGTCAGGTCCATGCCCTGATCAGCTGGCATCTTGGAGGTGGAGCTAAAGCCACCAGACCCCGGACCTGACAGAGCCTATGGGGAGGGCTTAGCAGGGCCACAAGTGCCAGCATGGAAAGTGATCAGAGGCAATTTAGGGTGTTAGGATCCAGGGAGGAGACTCAGAAGAGAAGTGGCCAAAGGTCCCCAGGCTGCTCTGAGTGGAAGGTCCCGGCAGGACTAGGTCAGGTAGAGAAGCTTTCAGGGAAGGGCCCTGAGCCTTGCTTATCAGCCCCCAACCAATGCCACAGGGTGTCATCCAGGGCACTGTCCCCTACCTGGGCACGTTCCTAACTGACCTGGTGATGCTGGACACTGCTATGAAGGACTATCTGTATGTGAGTAACCTGGGGCCCAGGGTGGGGACCCAGGGCCATGGACCAGGTTCTGAGACTTGGAAGGAGAGAGCCTCTTAACTGACCCCTGAACTCTAGCACTTGGGAGACTCTCATGGCCACCACATGTCCTACCTGGTGTTGCCCCAGACCTGCCTGACCTCAGAACTGCAGGCAGGTTTGGCCAAGCGGGACACAGCACATCCCCTCAGGTAGCATCCATGGGTGGGAAAGTGAAACAAGGCCCTCCACGTTCAGGCCAAGGAAGGCCTTACCACTGGAAGCCTCAGTTTCAAGTTCTCCGAGAGGGTTAAGCAAGAACTTACCTCTGCCCATGGGGCTGGAGCTCACCCTAGTCCATACGTGTGTACTCTGCCCCCTGGTGGGTGCTCCCAGTAGTGCAGCACCAGGCATGGAGGCCTTAAGAGTGGAGGGCTACTTTCTAACCACACTGGCTGTCTGCCTTCTAGGGAAGATTGATCAACTTCGAGAAGAGGAGGAAGGTGAGCAGCTGCTGCCCTTATGGGGTCGGAGGGGAGCCTAGCCGGGCAGTTTACTCAGCTCCACATGCCTCTCTGGATTTATGGAGACATTTGGTACAGAGAGAAGGAGCTGTCCAATAGGAAGGTTAGGGGTCTGAGGTCAGACCTAGGACAGGTTCCTAGGAGTGGCTGTCTGAACCCAGCTATAAGAACAGGGAGGAGCCTGGATGGGAATGAGGGGAGGGGGACCCCAAAACAAAGATCCCAGGCTGCCCCTGCACTACCCAGGCCTGTGACCATCCTGTCCTCTCCCTGACCCAGGAATTCGAAGTGATTGCCCAGATCAAGCTGCTGCAGTCCGCCTGCAACAATTACAGTATCACACCTGAGGAGCACTTTGCAGCTTGGTTCCGGACTGTAGAACGACTCAGTGAGGCTGAAAGGTGAGGCTTGGCGGGCACTGAGGGCTGCAAGTGCATGCTGTACCTGGGGTCAGCTTCTGAGAGCCTGTGGCCCGTGGCCTGGTAAGGCCAGGAACCCAGGCTCCAGCTTCCTGGCAGACTCTGGGAGGGAACTCGAGTGTGGCTCCTGGTGGCCTCACAGCTGCCACCCCTGCCTTAGCTACAACCTGTCATGTGAGCTGGAGCCCCCATCTGAGTCGGCCAGCAATACACTCAAGACCAAGAAGAGCACAGCCATTGTCAAACGCTGGAGCGAGTAAGTGCCTGGGCCTGTAAGCTAGGGAGCCAGACAGGCCGGTGCTGGGATCTCATTTCTGACTGGGCCTCAGCTCTCTGACTCTCTCTGTGGCCCAGCTCTTCTGTGAAATGCGGTGACCCTCAGATGGCTGGGGAGAATAGGGTACTGGTGATTGCCCAACCACCTAGTAGGGTACCTTAAGCACATGGAGGGTGGTGGGTGGGATGTGTCCTTGGGGAGGCCCCACAAGTAAGCCAGCCCCTCCATCCAGCCGCCAGGCCCCCAACACGGAGCTCAGTACCAGCAGCAGCTCCCACTCTAAGTCCTGTGACCAGCTCAGGTGCGGCCCCTACCTCAGCAGCGGGGACATCGCTGATGCACTCAGCGTGCACTCAGCTGGTTCCTCCAGCTCCGACGTGGAGGAGATCAACATGAGCTTTGTCCCAGAGTCACCTGACGGTCAAGAAAAGAAGGTGACAGCCCTCACTTCCCTACCCTCCTTCTGGGTGCCAGCCTACTCCACTCTTATGTCCACACAAGGGACCTGAAGCCCTGGCTCCAAACACAGCTTCTGGAAACCCCTAGAGCTGTCTTCCAGGCTGGGGTACCCTGCAGGGTGGGGGCTTCTGCTGATGTTGCTGTCCCCCACAGTTCTGGGAGTCTGCCTCCCAATCCTCCCCAGAGACCTCCGGCATCAGCTCAGCCTCCAGCAGCACCTCCTCATCTTCAGCCTCCACCACGCCCGTGGCCGCCACACGCACCCACAAGCGCTCTGTCTCAGGGGTCTGCAGCCACAGCTCCTCACTGCCACTGTACAACCAGCAGGTGGGCGACTGCTGCATCATCCGTGTCAGCCTGGACGTGGACAACGGCAACATGTACAAGAGCATCCTGGTAAGCGGGCTGCAGGGCGTTCCCCGGTGCCCTCACTCAGCCAGCCACAGACCTGCAGGGAGCCCCGCAACCCTCCCTGCCCTCCTGGAGTTGACCGTCTAGTGGGTCAGGAAGGACAGACAGCACTGTGGAAGGCAGTGGCCAGTGCTCAGAGGCTGACCTGAGAAGAGGGAGGAGAGCAGCATGCCCAGCCCCCAGGCGGGAGTGGGCCTGCAGGTTGGGGGACAGTGAGGAGGCCAGGGGTGAAGGAGCAGGGCTGGGACAAATGAGGTCAGGAACTGTCTAGAGATCTGTGAGGACCTTGACTTTCTCTGGAGGAAGATGGGGCAGTTGGGGCAGAAGAGGTCAGCAGTGACTTTTCAGTGACTCCCTGGAGGGCGGGCTACTGTCCCAGATGCTGGAAGCTGCTTAGGGGTAGTCACTGTGGTCCAGGCAGGGAGAGCAGGGACACAGCAGGCTGAAGGCCGTGGATGTGGGTCATACCGTGTCAGAGTCTGGGTGTCATCGGACATGGAACCCCGTGGGATCTGCTCACAAGTGAATGGACATGACGGGGGGCGGGGAGGGGGGGAGGCTCGGTCATCCTCAGGTCTCCAGATGCAAATGAGCCATTTGCAGATCTGCCCTCCCCCTGTCTGGGTCAGGTGCTTCACTACACTGCACCCTGACCAAGCTGTCTGGAGCTGGAATGGCTGCAATTAACAATCACCTCGGTGACTTTGATTCCTACCTGGGCTCTGACCCTCAGGGTGGAGGCAGGCAGGGTCCAGCGTCTGCCTCCCACCACTGCAGCCTCAGCCCAGAGCAGAGCCAGCATGGACGCAGCATGTGGGAGGCTACTGGGCATCCAGCTGAGTCCTCTTCTCTTGGGATTGGACAAGACTGTCTGGTGCCCAGGCTTGCTGACTGTCCATCCCTGAAGAACAAATGGCTCCCACGCTGCCTGGGATTAGGGCTGTGTTATTTTGGGAGGATGGGACTAGGAATGTTGGGGAAGAGCTGTTCTCATTATGGAAGCAGGAAAAAGTGAGCCTCCATTCTCATGCCTGAGGTGGCTCCAGAGGGCTTGTGCCCACTGTACCCTGAGGAGCCACTCCAGGGCCCTTTCCCTGATTACCTGTCCCTCAACTACATCCAGGTGACCAGCCAAGATAAAGCCCCAACTGTCATCCGCAAGGCCATGGACAAACACAACCTAGACGAGGACGAGCCAGAGGACTATGAGCTGGTGCAGATCATCTCAGAGGATCGCAGTGAGTTAGAGAGTCAGACGGACAGGGTGATGGCAGAGGGGCAGAGTCAACACCTCACCCAGACCCCGACCCAAGGCCCAGGATAAGGGCGGGCACTGTGTACACAGCACCCTGCCATAGAACGGCCCTGAAAGACCCAGGCTCTTCTCACAGCCCCAGCAGCTGCTGAACCTCCCTGCCCTTGCCCTGCCCAGGGTGTGAACAGGCAGTGCAGAGAGAACATCTGTGAGGAGCAAAGAGAAAGGGTTTATTTGATGGGGCAGGGTGGCCCCTTTCTAGCTAAGAAATCGTGTGCTTCAGAAAGAATCCAAAGTGCATGAACTGAAGTGTCACGTGTTAAAATCCACGCATATGACACAGAAAGCACACACGTAGAGAGCTGAGTCAGGGTTCTAGAAACCAACAGAATCAAGTGCAATCCCAGGCCCAGGTCGTCTAGGCTCAGGCCTTGGAACTTCCGTAGAGGCTGGATCATAAACCCTCTTGTGGCTTCTGGCACCGTTTTTGTTAGGTGGGCAGGATCGGTGGGACTCCATTCTGCATAAAAGTGCAGGATGGCATTCAGGAGGCGGTCTGGATTAGTAGGGCAGCTCTCGGAGGAGGTGGTCTGGATTCTAGAAGCTAGAGCCTCTGACCAGCACAGGTGGAAGGGAGGGCAGGAGGGGAAGACCCTTGCCAGCTCCCGGCTGAGCTGGGATGAGCTCAAACCCCTTTCTAAGAGAGTCATTAAGTTTTACCAGGCCTCAGCGTGTTCTGTCCCAGGCAGGAGTCACTGGGAGGGGTCCTTGGTGGTCCTGGAGCTGGACTGGAGGGATCTCAGGGCTGTGGCTCAGATCTGGCTCTCAAGTGGTCAGGGTGTCCCAGTCCCTGTGAGCACAGCTGACCGCCCCTCTGCTCCTCTCCCTCCAGGGCTGAAGATCCCCGAAAATGCCAACGTGTTCTACGCCATGAACTCTACCGTCAACTACGACTTCATCCTGAAGAAGCGAACCTTCACCAAGGGGGCGAAGGCCGAGCATGGAGCCAGCTCCACCCTCCCGCGCATGAAGCAGAAGGGACTCAAGATTGCCAGAGGCATCTTCTAAGGGCCGGCTGGCCAGGGCTAAGCACTTACAGACTCCAGTGGCCCAGGCCCAAGCAGGTGCCTTCTGCCCACCTGCCAGCCCAGGCCATCTCCAGACTCCAGTTTCACCCCAAACTTCTCCTGCTGCCGGGATTGACACCTGCTGTTGGACAGGCTGACCTGGCCTTCCTGGGACCACTCGCTGCCTTAGGTGCCTTGTGCTCTGGAACCAGAGGACTGGGTGACTTTTGCCAAGGAGCAATGGCAAGGGCACGGTGCCCTGTCTGCCCCGGGGCACTGCCCTCCATACCTTCCAGGTGCAAGTCACTGCCACCTGTGCTCGCAGGCACCCCAGGGCACCCACTCTCCCAATGGGGCTGACCACTGCAGTTCTCTCCTCATGCCCATGGGCACTGGTCTGTGATCTTCACAGGAGTCCCTGCCCCTCCTCCTGCCACTCTAGCCTTTTTCAGGCTGCACCAAAGATGCCATCTTCAGGGCCAACTGAGAGTGAGGGAGTGCTACCCAACAGAACCCCAGCCCTCCCGGGCAGAGCAAGAAGCCCTCTGAGACCACACTCTTCACCCCGCAGTGCAGACAGTTCCACTGGTGACAAATCTCATGCCTCTGAAAGTGCCATTCACCACTGCATCCTGGGCTGTAGAAGACCACACAAGTTCGGGGGTTGGGGGGAGAGGAGGGTTTGGGAGAAGGGGGAGGTCGACCGAATATTTGTATAAAAAGCAAAAAGAAAAATGTTTACTGATTGGGGTGGGGCAATATTTATTTGTTGTAAATAGAAAATGCTAGACTTGAATATTATATTAAAATCTTGTTTCTACTATAGCCTGGTCATTGTGGTTTTGCTCTTTATTTCCTGTGTTGATAATGACATAAAGACTCTAACATTTCATGTTGAAATAAGATATTTTGTAGAATACTCAGTCTGTTTTATGCAGAAGTAGGGAGAGCCAGCCACGCCGCTCCTCAGCTGGGCTGAAGGACGCATATGTCCACCTTGTGCAGAGCACGTGTTCATGTCAGTGTCACTAAACCAGTGATGTGCTGGAACGGCCCCCCAGAATCCTGGACTCCAGGCTGGAGAGTTTGTCATAGAGCATGGAACAAACTCTGAAATTTGGGAGTCTTAAAATTACATTTGCAACAGAAAATGACAAGGATAGGAAGGGGCAGGGTCTAATCTCTCAGGAAGCAACTAGTAAGCTTTGGGGGAAACAGTTGCCAGAAGCAAGAATTTGAGGACACTGGAAGGTGATCAGACACTGTAACCAGGAGAGTGCTTGATGAAGGAGGACACTGCTAAAGTTCATAGTTAAGAAACTGTCAGGTCACAGGCTGACCAGACAATGGAACAGAAAACTCAGTGACTCCACAAATACAGAATCCGGGCTTCAAAAAAAATTGGAAAGTTACTATAGGAACAGAAAACTGAATGAAGCCTTCAAAAGGCAACAAAAACTATTCCTGAATTGGGACAAAGTGATTTCCAGAGGGACCACATTGTAAAACTCAGTGTTCAGTTCTCAAAAAATTACAAAGCTTGCAAAGGAAAACATGGCTCATTAACAGAAGAGAAAAAAAAGGGTTTCACAAAAACTGTCCCTGAGGAAGCCCAGACATTGGGATTTGTCATCAAAGACAGTAAGTCATCTGTTCTAAATACACTTAGTGAGCTGAAGGAAGCCATGGGCCAAAGACCTAGAGGAACTCAGGAGGAGGATGTGTGAAGGAATGAATTCAGTGAAGAGACAGAACTGGAATGAAGAGGGAACCAAACATTCTGGAGCTGCAGAGTACAGTACCTGAAGTGAGAGGTTCACGAGAGGGTTCAGAAGAAGAAGAACCAGTGAACTTGAAGATAAGGTGACTGAGATCTGAGATGCGGGGAGAAAAGATGAAGATATGAACAAAGCCAGAGTGCTGAAATACCGGCCTAACTACCAACGTGCACACACAGAGTTCCAGAAGAAAAGGCAGATTATTTGAAGAAACTGGTCAAAAACTTCCAAATTTTGATGAAAGACATGAATAGGTACATCTAAGTTCAATAAACTTCAAACAGTATAAACTTGAAAGAGATCCAACCAAACCAAAATATGATCAGATTGTCAAAAGACAGAAAATCTCGTATAAAGCAATCCTTCACATACAAAGTAATCTCAGTAAGATTAACAGCTCATTTCTCTTCAGAAAACATGGAATCCCGAGGCTGTGGGATGACATATGTAAAATGTGCTGGAGAAATTAAGACATTCCTAGAACGTAAGGGAGTTTGTATTAGTAGATGTGCCCTTTAAGAAATGCTGAAGCAACTCTTTCAGAATGAAATGAAAATACTAGAAAGGAACTCAAACCCATATGAAGAAAAACAGCCACAGACTAGGTGGTGACCTGCTTATAGAAAAGCCAGTATTGTACTTTGAGTTTCTAACTCTTTTATTTATGTATTGTATGTGTGCACGTGTGTATATATTTATGATTTAAAAGTAAAATTTATCAAACTAATGACAAATCTATGTTAAGAGCACAATATATAAAGATACGGTCTGACAGTGACAATATAAAGAGGGAATGTAGACAGATGTTTGAGGACAGTATTTGAGGCCACTGAAACTAAACTGGCTTTGTTCAAAGTAGGTTATTAAAATTTTAAGATATTACTTGCAATCCCAAAGACTGCTAAAAAAATAAAAGGCATATAGGAAAAGAGAAAAAGAATCAAAATAGCACACTACACAAAACTCAACTGAAAGACCTGGTGGTATATCTCAGTGGCAGAGTGCTTCCCTAGCATGCGTGAGGACCTGGATCAATCCCCAGCTCTGGAGGAAGGAAAAAAAAACTCAACGAAATCCATAAAAAGTGGTGATGGATGAATTGAACAAAAAGCATGTAAGACCTACAGAAAACAAAGTTAAATGGCAGAAGACCTTCCTGCCCAGTAATTACTGCAAATGTAAGTGAGCTAAACTGTCTTATTAAGAGGCAGAGATTGGCAGCATGCATTTTAAAACCTGTGACATATGTGCTGTGTTCAAAGCGATCCATTTTGAGTACAAAGGTGCAAAAAGACAAAATATGGAAATGTATTCCATGAAAATAGTATACTTAAATAGTGATTATATTATCAGGAAAAATGGGTTTTATGTCAAAGAGGTAGCAAAGAAAAAGAAAAGTATATGTTGATAAAAGTTTCAATTCATCAAACAGATAGAAAAATTGTAAACACAATACCCCTAAATATATGAAGCAAAAATCGGCATGACTGGAGGGAGAAGCACACAGCTGGAGAACGTAATTCTGCACTTCAGTAATGGCTGCAATGAGCAGACAGAGATCCGAGGGGAAGGGGGCTTGAGCAGCACCGTGAAGCCGCGAGCCCGGCAGACACAGGACCTCAGTTCAGCACAGCAGAGCGCACCTGCTCCCCAGTGCACGTGGAACTCTCCAGGACAGACCACGCGTTAGGTCACCAACGAGTCTTAATGCGTCCAGAAGACAACGCGTACCCAGTTGTTTTCCAGCTCCAGTGGAATGGAACCGGAAGCCATCAGCAGAAGGAAAACTGGAATATTTATAAATAAGTGGAACTTAAACAGCACACTGTTAAGTTACCAGTGGGTCAAACAGATCCCGAGGGAAATAATGTTCCTCGAGACAATGAGGACAGAAACACAACATACCAACATTTAAGACATGCAGAGAAATCAAAATATCTGCTCGTGGGACATTTACACCTCTAAACGCCTGCATTAGAAAACAACCGATCTCATCTCAAAGCAGCAATCAAACTCTACACTTTAAGGAACAACAGCAAAAGTAAACCCAAGGTGGCAGAAGGAAGGAAATGGTAAGTATTATGGCAGAGCTCAATGAAACAGAATAGAAAGCAAGAGAAAAACAGTAAAACCAAAAGTTGGTTCTTTGAAAAAGATTAACAAAACTGACAAACCTTTAGCAAGATTGACAAAGAAGTAAGAAGGCTGAAGTTGCAGAATTTGAAAATGAAGTGGGAATGTTATTACCAACTTTGCAGAAACAAAAGGATTATAAGAGAATTCTGTGCAGCACTGCATGCTAACCACAATGGAATATTATTCAGCCATAAGCAGCCATAGATGGATGCATGCTAGAAGGTGGACAAGCCTTGGGAACATTAAGATTCCACTTAGAAGAAGCATCTGGAATAGGTGAATTCCTAGAGACAGGGTAGAGGTTACCAGGGGCTGGGAGAGGAAAGGGGGAGTTAGCGTTTAATGGATACAGAGTTTCTAGTTGAATTGAAGAATTCTGGAAATAGACAGTAGTGATGGTTTCCCAACAGTGTGATATTGGAATTAATGCACTACCACTCTTAAAAGTGGTTAAGTCAGACTTATGTTATATGAATTTTATCCCAATTTTTAAAAAATAATATTTGTGGTCCAGCATGGTGGCTCACATCTGTAATCCTGGCTACTTGAGAGGCTGAGATCTAGAGGACCACAATTCAAGACCAGTGTGGGGAAAACGGTTCATGAGACCCCATCTCAACAAATAGCTGGGTGTGATGGCGTGTGCCTGGCATCCCAGCAACAGTGGGAAGCTTAAAATAGGAGGATTTTGGTCCAGCTCATCTGGGAAAAAAGTGAGACCCTTTCTCCAAAGTACCCATAGCCAAAGGGCTAGTGGAGAGGCTCAAATGGTAGAGCATCTGCCTGGCAAGTGTGATGCCCTAAGTTCAGACCCCAGTACCTACAAAAAATTAAAACTTAAAAGAAAAACTTGCAGTGGGGCAATGGCGGTGAGCTCCTGTAGACCCAGCTGCTAGGGAAGCCAAGGTGGGCGGACAGCTTAAGCATAGGAATTTGAGAGCCATCTGGGCAACATAGCAAAACCCATGTCAAAACCCAAAAACACTTGCAAAGGCTACTTCCTGACACAGGACTGACTTTCCACAGCTTCAGAGGAAGAAAAGAATTTTATGCTTGTCACACTGGATATGTGACCACAATTAGGAACAGGTAAACTTCAAAGTCATACTCTGGAACTCACAGGAAGGAGAGAAAAACTGCAAACAGATCAAACCTAGGTGTGTGGACTGGCAGGACATCGCCTCTTTGATCCCCTCGGGCTACAGCTGACACCTTCCCCTAGATGAAAATCCTGGAATCCTTGCACCGAACCCCAGAATTCCTTTCCCTGCTGATTTTGTGCTTGGGCAGATGTGACCCAGCGCTTGAGACTGCAGTGGGCCTCCCTCCATAGTGTCCTTCCCATCCCCCCACCTCCCTCCCACGTGTGTCCTGACCACTCAGAACTGGCTAGGGAACCTCAAGGGTGCCACTGAATGCTGGCTTTCCAGGGTAGGGACGATCCCACCTATGAAAGACCCCCACACTCCGCTTCTCTGGATCTGTCTCCTCCTCTGAGGATTGTTCATTGAACTTCCCAGCCTGGGGACTGTATGGGGAAGGAGAGGATCAAGTGCCTGTTACTGATAAGGACTGATAGCCCCTCCTTCCTCCAGCCTGTTCCCAGGAGCAAAGACACGCTGCACTGGAAGAGCTTGAGATTTTATTCAGGAAGAGCTCAGGAGAGGAGGTGGGTGACCTCTTGGTGCCAAGAGACACTAGAAACCAATGACTACAGGCATCTGAGCCCCCTGAGAGTCGTCTGCTGGGGGCACGGGGGCGGCCTCAGAGTCATCTGCTGGGGGGACAGGGGCAGCCTGGGAGTCATCTGTAGGGGGCACAGGGACAGCCTCCTCACCAATCACAGTGGGCAGCTGTTTGTAGGTCAGGGCCCAGTACTGCAGGTACTTGGACCTCAGGTGCTCCTTCATAGACTGGCTGTCCATCTCCTTATTGATCTCAAGGTAGCTGCCATTCTCCATGGTGTAGGGGTACCAGTGTGTGGGCACAGATGAGTCACCCACGTTGGGGTCCCTGCAGAGTGAGAAGAGGCTGGGTGGGGGCTGAGGACCTCTGGAAAGCTGGAGACCTCTGCTCTCAGCCACCTCTGCACCCGAATGCGTAGGCAGCCCCGGTCCTCTGAGCCCACCTCACCATGCCCCAGTCCTGATGAGCAGGGCATGGCCTTGGGACTCAGGTCAGCAGCTCTTATCTTCATGTACGGACTGAGATGCCGAGGCTCAGGGAGGGGTAGCAACTTGCTCAAAGTCTCCCAAGTGAAGAAACAGGGCTGGAACTCAGGCCTGCAGGGCCACGCTTGGAAGAGGCCCTCAAGTCTACTGCCCTCAGCCCTGAGCTCAACCCCACAGCTTACCCACTTCTGGCAAAGTTGGTCCAGTAAGCGATCATGGCCTTGGAGACAGTCCTCTCTTGGGCCCGGTAGCCCAGTGGGGTGGAGAAGGGTTTTCCGAAGACGTACTGGAGGTCGTCGGCGTGATCGGCCCCCACCCAGTTGGGGTATAGGGGCATCCGAGAGGGATGGGAGAACAGGTAGGAGTAGGTCTTGGCACTCCTGAGGGGGAGGCAAGGTAGCATAAGTTGGTAGGATCCTCACCTGGGACTGCCCAACCCAGTGATGGGCCCTGGAGGGAGTCAGAGGGGAGCAGAGAAGGGTCTGGGGAATTCCTGCCAAGTCTCACAAAGAAAGTGAGCCTCTTAGAGCAGGGGAGGGAAAGCTGAATCCTGAATTCATAGGTGCCACAGTTTCCATTTCATTTGTTCCTCACCTCTACAAAAAGCTTGGAGGCACCCACCTGCGATTCAGTATCAAGAAAGATTTTTTTCCTATGTGAATTCATGTTTTTCATTTGATTGGACAAGACATATGCCCTCATCTGTTTCCCTGGCCGCCTTGACTGACAGGAAGCTCAGAGCTAAAAACTTATTGCTTAGTTAGCCAAAAGTCCTCAGCAGGAAGGTGCAGCACCTTACGGCCCTCCCAAGGATCCACCCCTTTCCAGGGCTCTAACTTGGCATTGGCTTTGTGCTGGGCCAGAGCCATCTCTGTGGGCATCAGAAAGAGGATGTCGGTCTCCAAGTTCACCACAGTCTTCTTCTTGGTCTCCTGGGATGAGTCCTCTGCCCAGGACTGGGTGTAGAGGTCAAAGGTGGCCCTGGCACCGCTGAGCCCCTTGGTGGTGGTGAACCCACTGACCAATCTGTAGAAGTCTTCCCTGCAGAGACCAAATAGGCATTGGACCCCACTCTACTAGCCAACAGGAGGGCATCTGCAACCCGCCCCCCAACATAGGTCCCCTCCTCACTCCCACCCTCTGCTAAGACCTCCCGTCTCCAAGCCAGGCTCCTGAGGCCCAGCTGTCCTCCAGCACATGCTGCCTGCCCTGGACCCGGGCCCTCTGCTTACTCTGTGATGTCCTTGTTGGACCTGTCAACGGCTGGCATGTCGATAGTGGAAAAGAGGTGGCCATCCATGTCATTGGTGCCCGCTATGTAGTCTATGTCAGCAGCATTGGCATACAGGTTGATAGGGTCCTCGGGGATGAAGTCCCCATCAACCACAGGGATAAAGCCCAGGTAGTGTATTGCAGGATCTGAGTGGGAAAGCCAATAGGTCCTTGTACCCTCCAGTTCTGTCTGGCCCTGCCCTTGGCTCCTTATGGCTAGAACTGATCTCCTTCCTTCTCTGATCTAGACCAGGGTCTCTCAGCCCCAGCACTAGGGACCTTTGGGACTGGTTAATCTCAAATTGGTGAGGCACAGACCTGTCCTGGGCAGTGTGGGAATGAGGAAGATTTTGAAGCAGCTGAAGGAAAAAGTGGGACCCTCTCCTGGGGGTGGGTTCTCAGCTGTTAGCCAAAACATATACAAGGTCTGCATGCCCTCCAGACTCCTCTGACTGATCCCTAGAAGACCAGGTAGCTGGCTTGGGCACAAGTGGAGGCCCTAGCTTTCTTTAGGTCCAGCAGGGCCTGTTTTTCTTCAGTTGAGCAACAAACAAAATAGTTGGTTGTGTGGCTTGGAGTATGGTTCAGAGGTAGAGTGCACAAGGTCCTCGGTTCCATCCCCATCACTGCAGGGGGACGGATTAAAAAAAAAAAACTGGTAGGGCTTAGGCTTTGCCTGAGAAGAGTGAGGAGAGGAAAGTCCAGCTGTCAGCTGCCATGCTGGCGTTCATAGGCATTTGCTGCTGGGGTCCCAAGCGTTTGGAAGAGCCAAACACTGCAGCATGTTCACTAAATGAGTGAGGGAAGGGAAGAGTGAATAAGCTACCTGGCACAAAATGCTGAGTCTGGGGTCCGTGAATCAACCCCAAACTTTGTGCAAACTGCCGCCGCACACGTATGCATTGCTGGGGGGTGTGGGGCCAGCAATGTTCACCAACAACACCCCCTTGCCTTACCACTGGGGTCCCCGAGGCCTACCAGCCGGTGGTAGTAAGCACAACAAACAGGTCAGTGGCCCCCTCCTCTCTCCCCCCAGAACTTGGTTTTGCCTGACAGCGGCCTCCCCCATCCCAGTCCTCCATGTTGCCTGCCCAGCAGCACCCACTCACACTCCAGGCCTGAGAGGGGCATCTTGTAGGCCAGTGTGACAGCACGGGGGTCAGTAATCTTCAGACAACTCGCCAGCCTGCTGGTATCATCTGTGGGGCAGCCTACCTTCTGAGCAATCTAGGGGAAGGTGCAAGGTAGGCAGCGAGGTCACAGAACAATTTGGGGGCAAATACAGGATCCAGGATACAGAATTAAGACAAAGAAGTCTCCACCAGGACCTAAGCACACCCCCTCTGCTGCCCACCCCTGCCCCCTCCACTGCCCACCCCTGCCCCCTCCGCATACCTCTTCCGCCCAGGAGAGTGGGTTTTTCTGGATAACCCAGGGGCTCAGTGCCACTCCACTCTGGCTAATTGCTCTCCGGATGAGGCCTTTGTTGTAGGGGGAGAGGGTCTGCAACACCCGGAAGTCCTGTCAGCAGGCTGTACCCAGGCTGAGGAAACCCTAGTCTGTCCACTCCAGCCCTGCTCTCCTCCATCCATTCTCTCCATCCCACTGCCTCCCTCCCCAAATCTTGGAAGTGAGCCCTCCCCTCCAGAGCCCCCAGACCTGTAGAGAGACACTGGCACCTCCGGCTGACTCCCCAAAGATGGTGATGTTATCAGGGTCCCCTCCAAAGGCTGCAATATTCCTCTTCACCCAGGCAATGGCCATGTGCTGATCTCGAAGGCCATAGTTACCTGTGGGCAGGGCAGGGGGGAGGGGCCTTCATCCAGGATCCTCAACTAAGGCTGGAGGGTGCTAGAGATGAGCGGCCCAGAGCCTGTGCACAGCAGGTGCAAATCAATACATGTCCTCAACTGCTCTGAGCCTCCCAGGAGGCTGGGTGGGGCAGGAGGAGCAGGGAGTTCAGACAGGAAAGGGAAATAAAATGAGCAGGCCCTGCTCACCTCTGCCATGGTCCCTCCTTTTGTCTGTCTGTCCTATCACTCTCATGTCTACCCTTCTCTGCCAAGGTGTGTCATTCTGCCTCTCACTGGGCTTCTCTGTACTGTTCCCCTTGGCCAATCTCTGTGTCTCTATCTGTCCCATAATCTCTTTTCTTTCCCTATAGCTGCGCCAAGGGGCTCCTGTGCCTCACAGTTCAACTCCAGCTTCCTGGCTCTGCAAACGGCATTCTGGATCTTTTTGGCATTCTGCCTGGCTGTCAGGCACTGGTTGGGGTGAGAAGTGCAGAGGCGCGTCCCTCTGCTTGGCTCAGAGCTCACGGCATCCTGCACACTTGCTGTCCCACCCCCAGCGCCACCGATGCCCATCAAACCTGGCAGGTTGGCATCCCCAGTGCTGAGGAAGCCCAGGGGGCCAACACGGTAGTTGAAGGTGACCACAATGACATTGCCTCGAGTGGCAATCTCCTCCCCGTCATACAGGTAGATGTCGAGGAAGTTGGCCCCGTGGCCAGCCCCCATGAGGAAGGCACCTCCATAGATCCAGATCATCACAGGCAGGTCCTGGGAGACTGAGATGGTGAGCAGGCGGGTGACCCCAAATGCCTGACTGACCCTCTCCCTGGCCAACCCACTGACCCTATGCAGCGGGTATCTTCCCCCAGGCTGGGGAGCAATAGTGGGAGCACCCCCTCCCCACCCCTGTGCTGATTTCAGGGGAGTTCAACATTGCAGCCCCCACATAAACCCAGGGCAGGGTCCCGAGCTCTGACTGGGGGTTCCTTCAGAGAGTAGGAAGTCAGACCTTGCTTCCTGCCCTGAGGGACCCAGATGTTAAGGTAGAGGCAATCTTCATCCCCATAGGTGCTACTCTGGGTGAGGGTGGCCTGTAGGCATCGCCTCTTGAAGTCCTTGGCACTCAGGGTCCCTGTGGTAACAGGAAGGGGCTGGTGTGAGGAGGGAAGCCCTTCAGCACCCCCACCCAAGGCCTACCCAGTGCCCAGTGCCGCACCTTGCCAGCCAGGGTGACTCTGGGGATTCTCCAGGGTCTTGGCAGTGGCAAAGGGGATGCCCCTGAAGATGTCAACAGACTCGCCACCCAAGAGGCTGAGCTTCTTGTTGACGCCTTCCACAAAACCGCCTTCCGTGTACACAACTCCCAGCTGGGGTGAGGAGTTGTGTCAGAGTTGGGTGGGCTCAGACCTGACCAGCCCGAACTTGGGGTGGCCAACTCAACCGGCTCCAGGGTGTCCACAGGCTTCCCAGAAACAGCTTCAAAGAGGGCCAAGACAATGCAGCTCCCTGCCACTTTTCCATATTTGGGGGGCTGGCTCACCACTCCCTCCACCCCACCCCAGAGTGTTCTGCTTCTGTATCTGGAGAAAACTGATTCAGCCCATGTTCCACTCAGGAGGTCTGGGTTCTCACTATAGCTGCCTACTATACCTGGAGCCTCGGTTTCCCCATCTGTAAAATGGACCACAGCCATGCCTTCCCTGTGGCTGGTTGGCCATCCAGTGGGAGACCTGTCCAGCTGTGGACAGTGGTGAATGTTCCATGTGTACAGAATGTCTCATACCCAAGGGGGCCCTTTTTTCTTTCTCTATCCCTCACCTTCCTACAGCGCCTAGCCATCTGGACCTGGACTTGGCAGTCCTCACGGTCCTGTGCTCCAAGCTGGGAAAGGTATCTCTCTGAAGTGGCCCCCACCTCACTTGGCCCATCAGTCCTGTCACTGAGTGTCTAGCCTTGGTGGTGAGCTGCATGGCATGGGCCAACACATCTGTCCTCTCAGGGGCCACCTCTGAGGAGGCAGGTGCTCATCTGCCTACTATCCCTGGGGTACTGAGGCTTAAGGGCTTTCCTCCTTGAAGTCACTCTGCTGAGTAAGTGGTTGTCTAATCTCAGTGTCCAGCTCTCTGTCCCCTCCCAGTGCTGCCTCCTGTCTGCTTGCCCAGGCAGCAGCAGTAGCCACTGCATCCTGCCTCTCACCTGTGCCCAGTTCTAGGCAGGGGAAAGCAGCTGGCCTGCACCCCCAGGCCCAGCCTGGGTCCCAGCTGCCCTCTGAAGTCTGGGCTGAGGGGCCTCTGCATGCTGTGTGGGAGAGTGGGGCAGGCCAGAACTGAAGAGAGGAAGCAGCCAGACCAACCCCTGCCAGGTGCCCTGGGCAGCACTGGCCGGGCATCTGAGCTTCCTTGTTCCAGCCCCCCAGCTGCTGGGAAGGGCAGAGGGCCAGGTCAGTGCCCGAGGGCCTGGGAAGTCCTCTCTCTGAAATGGCTGTGTGTGGTCGAGATTGACCTGAGGGCAATCCCCAGGGTGTGGGGACTCCGGCCAAAGCAGCAGGGTAGAGGGCTGATGACTGGCTGCTGGAGCAGTAGGGATGAAACTCAGATTCCTTCAGCACCCCAAAAGAATTCTTCCAGGAAAAAGGGCAACCTCCCTCCCATGGCAGAAGCTCAGGACCAGCACCCCAACTTCCAGCTTCAAAAGGCAGGTCCCAGAAGTAGGAGGGCATTGGAGAGGATACTCAGGGCCCAAGAGGGCAACACAGTGTTGGAACGGCTAGAGTAACAGTATGGTAAGGGGCTGGGTTCCCTGTGCGAGTCCTGCTGGGGCAGGGGCTGGGCAAATTAGGTTTCTGTGCTATGTTCTCACACCCACACTTGGGAGAGGCAGTTACAGGGCAGACTGTACGGATGCCCCAGAAGAACTGGTGCAGCCTCTTGACCGGCGCTCCAGGGGAACCCTGCACGTGGGGGAACTCTCAGGAGAAGCAGGAAATGGAGGCTGCCAGGATCCAGACCCCTGGTTTGGATAGACCAGGTTTCAGATTCTTATTCAGGAACACAAAGTTGTCACTGTGTGATGTCAGACAAATTGCTTGTCTCCTGGGCCCCTGTTTTCCTATCTGCAAAATGGGCACAAGTTGACCTCAGCCAGGTCAGTAGGTAGGGTTGCCAGACTTGGCAAATGAACTTCAGAGGACCAGGCACACCCGAATTTCAGGTCAGCAATGGACTTTTTTTTAAAGTATAAATATACTCTAAAGATTGCACAGGACGTACTTACACCAAAAACTGCTCTGAAATTCAAATGTAGTTGCACGTACTGTACTGGACCTCAGGGAAGTGAGGCGAGCCAGGCGGGGCCTGTGCAGGGCCAGAGCCCAGGGAATGCTGGGGGTTTGCTGGGTTCTCTCGCTCTAGCTGGCCCTTGCTTACCTTTGCAGCATGTGCCACTGCCAAGCAGGCGAGGCCCAAGACAGCCAGCCCCAGGAGCCCCATGGTGAACGTCTTCCTCTGGTGGCCCTCCCTCTGCACTTCAGGTATTTATCGAGCGGAGCCAAGGTCATGTGCCTGCCCACACACGTGCTCAGAGGCAGGTGTGGAACGGGCCATCTTTCCCAGGGCAGCTGCTTCCAGGCACCCTGCTTGGTGCCCACAGTGCACCTGCACAGGTTGCTACCTACTTGGGAACAGAGGCAGATGGCACAAATGGCGGAGGGGATGCCAGGGCTGGGGCCTGGCTGGGTGCCCAGTGCCCTGCATTGTGACTCTCTTGGTGTCAACTTCAGAGAAACAAGCACCCTTTGTCTTGATGCTCTGATGCCTCCTCCCTAGATGGGGGTTCCTACAGGACAGGAATGTGATGTCTGGATCAGAGATGACTGGGTGATGACGTACACTGGCACACAGACTTTGCTGGCTCGGGCAGCTCTCACCATGGTGATTTCCTTATGCAGGATCAACTAGTGGGCATATTAGATGGTCCACATGCTGCCTAAGCTGGGAGCAGGGCCAGAGCTGCACAAGGCAAAGCCATGTGCAGGAGCCTGGGAGGGGAGGATAGGAGGCTCTAGGTGGATGTGAAGTGGGCAAGGGCTGCCTGGAGGGTGTCCCTGAGGAAAGACTGACCAGCCATACCTGGGGTACACCCAGGCAGAGGGGACAGCAAGGAGGGGAAGAGACACCATGGAGGGAGGGTGGGAGAACTGAGCAGAGGTAGAGGTCAGACCAGGTCATGAGAAAGGAGGCTGATGTATGTGTCACTCTGGCAACCCAAAAAGGTTATCACAGCAACAGATGGCCATGAACAAAATCTCCAGAGGGTGTCTGTGAGAAGTTGGCTGCATGTGAGCTCACCTCTCACTGTAGATACTCAACGGGCACTCTGCCCACTGCACATTCCCCTTCTGTGATGGGGACAAGTGGCGGGGCATCCAAAGTCCTCCCAGGCCAGCAACCCCTCTGGGCCTTGCAGCCCCCCTCCTATCTGGGAACTCTTGCCTCCAACTCTGATCTCAGCCCCACTTGTGCCTTCTGGCACTGTAGCCAGAGTCCCAAAGGACCTACAGATCCGTGCCTCGAAGGACATCTGTATGAGGTCTTCATGATGCACAGTGGGCAGACGGAGGGTGCACGAAGGCGGGAGAGAAGAGATGGGACAGGGTCGGGTGTGAGCAGGAAATGCACTCATTAACTGGTCTTTGCCAGCTACTCTAATTCTGAAAACCAGTGCTAAAGGAAGCAATTCTGAATTGGGGGGGGGCTGGGCTTTTGTGCAAGAATATTCTATTTAGTGTTATTCATAGTAACAAGGAGAAAAGAAAGGAGGGGAGGCAGGGGAGAGGGGGAAAGAGGCTTTTTAAAAAAACTACTCTTTTAGAGAAGTTTTAGGTTCATAGCAAAATTAGCAGAAAGGACAGGGTTCTCATATCCCCTACCCACTGAGTCACTTCCTCCACAATCAATGCCCCTGCCAAGAGTGGACATCACTGCAGTGGACCACACTGACACACCACTGTCACACAGAGCCCAGTGTGCAGGAGGGGTCACTCTTGGGTTGGACGTGCTATGTGCTGGGTAGCGTATTGTAGTTTCATCCAGAAGTGTCACTACCCGCCCCCGAGATCCTCTACAGGCCACCTGTCCATTCCTCCTCCCTAACCCCTTCACCACAGGATTTCTGCTGTCTCCAGAGGTTTGCCTTTCCCAGAATGTCAGAGTTGGAATCACAGTAGCTTTTTCCAATTGGTTTCTTTCACTTAGTAACATGCATTTAAGTTTCCTGTTTTTCGTAGCTTGATAGCTCATTGTATCAAGACTGAACAATAAGCATTGTTTGCATGGACCACAGCAAGTAGCATGGACCTGGTAGCTTCCAAGTTTGAGAAATTATGAATAACGAGGCTATAAACATTCAGTGCATGTGTGAACCTAAGTTTTTTGCTTCTTTGCCTAAAAACCAACAAGTGTGACTGCTGGATTGTGTGGGAAAAGAGCACTGCATTTTTAAGGAATTGCTATCCTGTCTTCCAAGCGGCTGTATCATCTTGCATTCCCCCAGCAATGAGTGAGGGTCCCTATGGCTCCACAGCCTCACCAGCACTGGGCGGTCAGTTTTGTGGATTTGGCCGTTGTAACAGTGCACAGTGGATGGCAGTGGACAGAGCACGTTCTGCTTGGCCGCTGCCTACACAGCTTCTTTGGAGAGGTGTCTGTTAAGCTCTTTGGCCAGTTGTATCAGGTTGTTTTATTACTGAGTTTTAAGTGCTCTTTGTATATTTTGGATAGCAGTCCTTCATTAGATCACATCTTTTGAAATATTTTCTCAGTCTATGGCTTGTTTTATATTCTTTCTTTTGCCAGGGAGAAAAAATTTAATTTTAATGAAGTCCAACTTATCAATTATTCATTTCATGTATCTTAGCTTTGGTGCATCTAAAAAGTCATTACCAAACCCAGGGTCATCTAGATTTTCTCTCATGCTCTCTTCCAGGAGTTTTATAGTTTGGCATTTCACATTTAGGTCTATGACCCACTTTGGGTGAACCTGTAAGCAATTCAAGTTTCATTTTGTCACATGTGGAAGTCCAATTATCCAGGGCCTCTAAGGACTACACGTTAACAAAAAGAGGTGGTTATTTATTTACTGAGGAGCCCACGTGGTCCTGCACAGAGTAGGTGATCAAAAAACAGAATGAAGAACAAATGAGTGTTCTCAAAAACATCCAGAAGAGACAAAAACCGTCCATCCACAAATAAAAGGCACAAGTTAGTTTCCTAGTCAGAGAATTGACACATGGGAACATTAATTTCAACCACAGATTTGTCCCATGTGTGAGGTCTGGGACCTCCCTGGAGCCCTAGGACACACCCCTGTGCAGGGTTGCCTGTGCATCTGGACCCCTCTGCCCCTGAAGCAGACTGTGGGGGCCCACTACATCTCAACCTCAGCTGTTGCTCTCCCTCTTAGGAAAGCCTCTAATATCAAAGTTTTAGATTGATAAGAGTTGACAAAGTAGAAAAGTAGGCTAATTGATTTAATGACACACAGAATTTAGGCAAATAACTTTTTAAAAAGTTTTTCTTGGAGGGTGGGGGCACAAATTTTTTCCAAGGGAAAAACTTTGCCTGTGAAAGCAAAATGCACCTTCACTGCCTGGCAAGCACAGGGCCCTGAGTTCAAAACCTAGTACCACCGCCACAAAAAAAAAGAAAAAAGTTGGAGGGACCCAGCTGTGTATCTGTGGACAGTCTAACCACATGGAGAACAAGCCCCCTCAAGCAACCTGGAGGGTCAGTGGTGAACCTGTAGCAGAACTTACCCGAAGGAAAAAGCAGAACAGTTTAAATGATCCTCAGTCATCTTATTTTACCACATCACCTTATAAAATTTATCAGCTGTTAACTTAAATACTTTACATTTTTAATTTTGAAAATAGTACATGTTATGTTGCAGGAGAAAGTAAGTAATGATGCTGGTGTTATCAGGAGTCAAACTTTTTGGTATAGGAGGAAAAAGAAAAAGAAAGCAGTATAAAATTGAAGAAAAACCCCATAATCTTACATTTAATTGGGAAACAGCTATATGGACTTTTTCTTCTTTGTAAAAAAACACTAGTTTCCCAGCTTTTCAAAACTGATAAAGGGGAAAACAGCCAGCGTTTTCCTGCCTTCAATGTCCAGATGGTATTTCAGGGTAATCAAGTAGATGATGAGGAAGGCCCTTATAGAATTCCAGCTAGTAAAAGAGAGTGTGGGACACTCCTGTAATTCCTGCACTAAAGGATCCTATCTCAAAAAAACAAAACAAAACAAAAAAAACCTAAATGGCCTTCAGTACTGGGTGTGGCGGTATACATCTGTAATCCCAGCACTTGGGAGGGTAAGGCAGTAGGATGGTCAGTTCCAGGCCAGCCTGGGCTATATAGTGAGACCCTGTCTCATTTAAAAAAAAAAAAAAAAATCTAATAAAACCAAAACAAAAGCCTGGAGTTCAAACCCTGGTACTGCACACACACACAAAAGAACAATGGATCAGGCTGGCCACACCTGACCATAAGGCATTCTATGTCTCCCGAATGGGTACACTACCTAGGATGAGACCTTAAACCTGAGTTTGGCCAAGCCTCCTCCAGGAGATATGGAGGAAGAACGGCACAGTCAAACACCATCACAAGGAAGCAAGGTCAAATCCAAAACAGGACATTATATGACAGGTGGCCATTTGTCTCACTCTGCTTTCAGTTGTTACAACAGAATATCTGAGGTTGGGTAATTTATAAAGAAAGGGGGTTTATTTTGCCTCACTTCCAAGAACATGGTGCCAGCATCTGCTCAGCTTCTGCTGGGGCGTGTGCTCTTTCACCTCATGGAAGAATGCAGAAGGCAAGTAAGACACAGAAAGACTTGTTTGAATCTTCACCCAGAAATAAAAAGGTTTCTGAGACAATGAAGGACATGTAAATATGGAGCAGAGTCAGGTACTAAGGCGTTACTCAATTTTGTTAGGTACTGTGTTGGTCAACTTTATGTGTCAACTGTCCAGATTTTTGGTCAGATGTTATTCTGGAGGTCTCTGAGCAGGTGTTTTTTGGTGACACTGCTATTTAAATCAGTGGACTTTGATAAACCAGCTTGCCCTCCGTGTGTGGGCCTTGTTCAGTAAACTGCTGGATGTGCAGAACTGACCTCCCTGAGCAGGAAGGATGCTGCCAGCACACAGCCTCTGGACTGTGGTCTTCCTGGGTCTCCAGCCTACCACACCTGCAGACTTTGGACTGGCACTTCCACAAACTGTAAGCCTCTATGTTTACACACAGCTTAACAGTTCTACTTCTCTGGGAAATCCTGACTAGTACAAGTCTAATAACAGTGTTATTGCAGTTCAAATAAAGAAAAAGTTCTCATGTGTCAGAGATAAGAAAGTAATGGTGCTTCCTCAAAACAATTTCAGCAAAACAAACACAAAAAGAAAACAAAAACCTGGTGGGGGGATGCAACAAGACTGGCAAAATGTAACTGTTGAAGGTGGGAGATGGGTAAACAGCTCACAAAGTACTCAGTACTTGTGTATGTTTCATATTTTTCATAACAAAAAGCTTTTATTTAAAGGGGTTTCCTAGGAGAGGAATCACAATTTGGGTAAACTTTAGGAAGCCCTTCTAATCTGACAGACCTAAGCTGGTTTGGCAGGGCTCTGGAGGGTAAGGCCCAGTTGCAGTAGAGGGCAGTGGGAGTGGGGTGGTCCCTGCCAGCTACCTTCCTCAGATGTGCACAATGTCCTCCCTGAGGACTCAGAAGTGGGAGCAGCCCCAGACGACATCTTGCAGAGACCACTTGCTCCACAGGGAGGTCCCACAGAGGGGCACAGGCCAACTTGCCTCACTTGAGGGAAGAACTGCTTCTCACCTGGCCTCCAGGAAGCGCTTTCTCCACAGCAGCAGGGAGCAGGCCACCAGGGGCTACTGGGGACAGCCTGGCTGTTTCCCCCTGCATAGCTGGTTCTAGGACTGGTCACTGTGGGTCAAATGAGCCACAGGGTTCCCGGCTGTTTCATGGGAGGGGTTTCCCAGGAACCTGGTCCACAGGATGGGGCTGGCTTGAGGCACTTGGCTTTGGAAATAGTGTGATTTTATTTTGGATGCCAAGCTGTTACATGCACTAAGGGTCACACAGAGAAACAGGCTAATGGCCTGTCTCTGGCTCAGGTGCCTGCAGGAAGTGGGGTGGCTGCCCCCTGGGCACAGAGATCACTACATGGGAATGCTCTCCAGGGAGATGGGCTTGGTAGGGCCTAACAAGTCTCTGGCTCCATACTTGGAAGCATGGGACAACTGGGCCTATTTCCAGGGAACTTCTGAAGAGCGAAGCCATTTGGAGAAGTCAGAAACAGGCCTGGCCTGCATCCTCAACTCACCCAACTGTGCCAGCACTACAGCATGTCCCTGAAGGAGCAAAAGAACAAACAAGATGCTGGGGAACTCAAGGCAAGAGGAACCTCCCCTATGGCCTCACCCTTGTATTAAGACACCCAGATTCCTCAGGAATATTGACTTAGAGGGACAGTTCTGGCTAGGGTTGGCTTTTATCAAAACCACCCCAACTGATGGCAGCTGAAGCCAAGAGCCTTCTTTGGCCATGTGTGAATTAACCAGGCTCCTCATGCCAGCTCTGCCACGAGGGTCACAAGAACCAAGTCAGGATGGGCTGTGCCCCTGCTGCACTACGTCCACCTCTGGTTTTTGCTGGTCTCAGTCAGGGAGGCTGAGAGTGCCAGCTCAGTCTGCCAGGCACTGTGCTGGATCATCAGTACATGGAGCCAGTGCAGAAGGCAGCACCAAGCACCATGTCACAGCTGGGGCCAAGGCCTGACTGTGGGAGTACAGCTTTCCTCAGAGCAGCTTCAAGGGCCATCCTTGTTACTGCAGGTGACAGGGGGAGCATGGCTCGCTCTGCCTTCCTTATCAGACTGAATGCCATTCTCACCTGGTCAGCCTGGGGACCAAAGCTTCTTCACACATAGTCCAGAATCTCTGTCTCCATCTCATTCTCACTCCCATCTGAGGGCTTGAAATCTTCCTCCTCTTCTTCCTCCTCCTCCTCTTCCTCCCCGGACTCAAACATCAACTGTCCTTTTGCATGGTCAGTCTTGCCTGGGCTGGAAAAGAGAGCTGGACCAGGAGGAAACAAGGTCTCGTATATCCCAAGGCAGGCTTCCTGGGTGGCCTCAAACAGGCCTTGTACAGCTCCCAGGGAGCCCATCTACACTAACCGGTACCCGGGTCCATGTGCTGGTGAAACTACTACAGAAAGTGGGCAGCCCAGGCAGATGGGGCCTAGTAAGCATCTCAGAAAATACTGAGGTAGGGAGGTTTGAAGCTGCTTTGCCAGGGGAGCCATGGGCAGTATCAAGCAGTTTGGCCAGGCGTGGAGAATCCCAACATTAGGGAGGCAGAGGCCAGCCTGGATTACATACTACACAGCAATTCTCTGTCTCCAAAACAAACAACTACAAAAAAAAACCTCGCTAGTCAGATGCTGGGATGTCCCCTGCCCAAGCATGGGAGGAAGGCCCTACAAGGGGCCTCTTGCTCTCCCCAGCCTTCTCAGACCCTCACCCCAGCAAGTGCTAGTCCCATTTCCCAGCACCCCAGTGACCAGTGCTGGCCCTGGTCCTGAGAAGGAGCCAGGAAATGCAGTACAGGGCGACGGCCCACAGACCCTGCTGTCTCTGTTCCTCCTCTAGTGCATGGGGTCTAAGATAAGAAGGAGATGGGACAGCCAGCCTACCTGTGCTGGAAGGGAAGACGGGACCAAGATATCATTTGGAGGCCTCAGACTGCAACTTCTCCCTCTGACACAGCCCTTCCCTCTGCACCTCCTGCCTTGACCCCAGGGCCAAGCCAGAGCTCACAAGGCTTCCCTCCCGCCAAGGGCAAGGGCAAGAGTATCTTCCAGGAGCTATTTCTTGGGAATAGGTCCCTGGGCTCGTTTACCACATGCAGCTCTCACCAGGCCTCTTGGAGCGGATGGTCTGCCGGATCATGAGGGACATGGTGTCCCTCAGCTCGTCAGTGGTCTTGGAGAGGCACCACCCATCCCGCTCTGTGCACACATTCTCTGCCCCATCATTTCGGTGGATTATTGTCTGCAACCTGTGGGCAAAGTAGGCTGCATGGGCTAGAGTCCCAGGGCGAGTCTCTGGGAGGGGGAAGGAGCTATAGGATAGAGTTCAGGGTGGGCCTCTGTTCACAGGTGCCAGTACCACTTCTGCAGATGTGGTTGTGCTGAGAGACAAAGCACTCAGAGGGAAGTCTCTAAGGTGGGCACACAGTGAAGAGTAGGCAGGGCTGTATGTTCCCAGCTGGGCTCCTTAACTTGTGTGGTCTCGACCCCTCAACTGCATACAAAGCTGGGTGTGTGCCCAGGCACATTTTCCTAGTAAGAGTCATGGCTTTCCCCAGATTTCAAGCTGTATTTCACATGCTATCCTGTCACCTCTCATGACAGTGACCCACCCCCACTGTTTTTTAAATATTAAGAGCAAGTGAACCAAAGTTTCTGGGATTCTGATCACCATGGAATTCAGCACCATGTCATGGACCCTCATGTGGGCAATGGTGGAGGAGGGGCAAAGGCTCCATAGCAAGAATGATCCCTGCCAGCCAGCAAGTCTGCTTTCTACATAACCCAGCCAGCACTCAGAAGTGCAGCTTGCTGACAATGCACATGGCTACTAAGGGCCACACAAACCACATGGGGCAGGACCCTCAGAGCACCTAACTCCTGAGGGCCAAGTCTTTTTGGTGAGAGCTTAGGGCTGGCATGAAGTGGAAAAGCTGCAGGAAACACTGGTCTTGGGCAATTTCCTAGCACTGCTCAGAGTCCCACGGGCCCAACGGTGGTGGAAGGCCCCTCAAGTACGTACTCTTCCACGTTCAAATCACATAACTGGTAGAACATCTGTCGATAGGGTGGTAAGGCCCCCTCCCGGAAGATGTAGACTGAGTCCTGTGGAAAGGAGGGGGAGAGAAAATAGTGGTGTTGGAAATGCCCACACTGGGGGCTCCTATGGGGTCTCCAAGAAGTTGTGTGGTCACAAACACCCGGGTGGGCAGACAGGCAGAGGCTGGGGAACAGATGTGGAGAAAACAAGTTCAGTCCCTGGAGGCTCTGGGAAAGCAGAAGAAACAGCCAGGTCCTCTAGGACCACTGGGAAGCCTCCTGCTTATGGCATGGGGCTGGCCCTGGCCTGTACTGGACTCTGCTTTCTGTGCCTTCCTACAGGAGCTGGCCTCCTTATCCTCATCAACTGCTACTAAAGGGCCACCCTATGCCCTGCTCACTGCCTTGAAGTCTCTTCTGGGAGGAAGGAAAGGTGAGCACTGATTTTCTCTTTTCCCCACCCAGGCATGCAACTCTAGAGGCAGGCACAGGTGCGTGAATGAAAGCCCTTGGGGAAAAGGACACTTGTTCAGGTTGACACAGTTACCCCCTCACTACAAAGAGTCAAGGTCTTGAAAACTCTGGGGGAGCAGGCATGGGGTCCAGCAGCACTGTGGCACTAGGACATGATGGCACTAGGGGATAGCTGCATGCCTGATTGCCTGATGTGGACCGTCCTGCTGCACTCACATTGTGTGTTCCCACAGAGATTCCAAAGTGGAATGACCTGCTCAGCCTCTCCCAGGACATGGAGTTATCACAGGGGCCCAAGCATGGAATGGTTTTCGAGTGGGCCAAATACTGTTGGGTGATGGTACTGATGAACATGTGAGCCTGGGAGGGTCCAGGTCCACCCCAGCACCCACGCCAGCCTACAGCTGTGCCCCAGATGGTCTGATTTGCTCCTGTACTCATGTGTGCACCTGATTCTTGGCATCCCAGCGTCAGTTACAGGCCTCAGTGGGGCCCAGGCCCACAGGGGAAGCCACACACAGTTGCTGGTGCCAGATGTCCCTCTCTGAGACTTGCCACCACCTCTCCACCCAGATAACCCTAATTTTCCATGGCTCCAGGTGGTTAGCACCCTGAGTTCTCTCTCAGTTTTTGGAGGGTCTCAAAGTGGGAGTAGCCCTTCAATCAAAGTCCCACCCCAGTATCACCCACAGAAGCCCAATTCTACAAGGGAGGCACCTTATCCCCACCCTCGGCCTCCCCTCAAGAGCTCAAGGACACCCACCTTGAGCTTGTACTTGTTGGAGATCAATTTCCGTGGACCAGCTACCCCCGATGAGCCCAGGCCCTGCTTCAGGTCATGCATGGTAACAAGCTGGCTGGCTGCATGAGGGCAAAGCAGTGCTGGCATACAGGGGCAGTGACCATCCTGCCTGCCCTCCTTCAGCCCACCCCCTCTGCCACCAGAAGGAATGGCCGACAGAGCCCTGGAGTGATCCCAGAGGGTAGCTCCCATCTTGCTGCCCAGTGCCCACCTCCCTGGGTGGCAGCCCGATGTGCAGTAGACCTGGCCACTTACGCGTCTTCTTCACGGTGATGGGCAGGCTATAGTTGTAGGTGCTGCGCTTCGCTTTAACAGGCATTTCACTGGAGCCATAGCCTACAGCCAGGGGCGGGTGTGTCGGGAGAAGGCAGGGGCAGGGCCTGGCCAAAAGCCAGGACTATGCCTTAAGGCAAGATCTAGCTCATAGGGCCACCTCCTGAGAACGGCCCCCAGCTGTCACCCACAGGAGGACGGGGTACATGCAGGTGGGAGCAGACGTTCCTGTGTGGTCTCACTGCCATTCACTAGCTCATTAGCTCAGACACTTAGCAGGGCCCAACCATGGCACAGGACCACAGGTCACTGCCTGTGGCTCAGAAACTGAAGGATCAGCAGTGTAGCCAGGGCAAAACTAGGACCTCCATTTCTATGCTACTGTGTTCCACAGACTCACAGAGGGGGAATGACACTTTTTTATCCTCTCCATACATACAGAGTTGTGCTACAGAAGAGAATGCTAGAAATGAAGACACTGAGAGAGAAAGACAGCAAAGCTTTTTGTTTTTACCATATTTCATTCCACAACGGATTCGGAAGTCAAGGACTTGATAAATCTTGGCCTCTGGGTGTTTTCGGGGGTCATAGCCAAATCGAATCCATAGGCTTCTCCAGGGGCCTGTTATCTGGAGACAGGAAAGGTGGGAGTGTGAGGAGGGGCCAAGAACCCGGGTCCCCTTGTATGTGCTCAGGGGCTGACCCCTACACTGAGGCAGCAGAATCCCTTCCTCCTCCAAAGAGCTGGGGACATGGCTCTGAACTCCCACCCAGTTCTGCCACATGTGCACTCTGCCACTTTGGACAGGCAACCTGGCCTTTCCAAGCCTTGGTCTGCTCATCAGAAGACAGCAACAAGAAATCAGAACCTCTACTACAGCACCTGGCTCACAGGGCACAATGTTAGTATCAGGATACATGGGATGTCTTCTATCCCAGAATAGACATGTAAAGGCCTAAGATACCACAACTCAGTAACAGAAGGTGGCTTTAGAGTCTAGAATCCAACAGGACAAGAGAGATGAGCCTTTCTTGTGCCCCTCCATCTGTTGTCAACCCTCATAATCACATCTTATTCTGGCTCCCCTAATGCTCTGCATGGGGACCGCTGGCAGATAGGACCCCTTTTCTTCTGCATCCTTGGAACCTGCCCTAACAACTCCCATCTGCATTCCCTCCTGGGCTGAACCAAAGGTGGATCTGCCCCCACTGAGTGTCACTCAGGTATAGGGTGCTGTCATTACTAGTCTGGGCTCCATGGTCACATAGGCTGGGACCTCAGGGGGTTCTGCCACTTATTGGCTGCAAAACCATGGCATGGCATGTCACCTTTCTGGGCCTGGGCTTTTCCTCAGAGAAAAAAGGACTCTTGCTGCCACCTCCAGGGAGGAATAAAGGATGAGATGTGCAGTCTTACCCAGTGCCTGGTCCTTAAAAAGTTCTCCCTACAAGGTCATTCTAGAGCACAGGATCTCCTTACATACTAGTGAGATAATTACCCCTTCACCCTGAAGTCACCCAAATGTAACTAAACACACCGTTAGGTGTAAGTACACCACGGACTTGAAGAGCTAGAAACCGTTCTAGCTGGCTTTAATAAGCTGTCTCGGGCTTCCAGGAGTCAGGCTCTTGCCAGGGCTCTAAGATGTCACATCAGGTATTGAGGATCACACTGGTACAAACCAAGGTGGTATGCAGCTGGCTACCACTTACCATGTAATAGGCCATGAAGGGAAGCAAGACCTTGAGCTTGTCAGGATGGACACTGATGTTGGCCTTGACAGCATTTCGTGACCAGATGGGACGGATGTCAAACAGCTGGGGAAAGTCAAGGGCTGAGATGAGCACCAACAGCTCCTGGCCTTCCTACACCAGCTTCCCCAGCATGTCTAGGACCCAGTGGACCCTTCTAGAGAGAAGTTGATGGAAGGCAGTGCTTAATGAGGAACTAGCCTCTGGAACTTGCTGCACTCAGCCCCTCACTCCTCATTTCCCACTTCCTCCCTTTCTACAAAGAGATGGACTGTATACCTTGCACATGTCAAGTCCCTGGGGGACCTAAAGCAACCATGAAGGTCATGGTCCCTTTCCTTACACAGCTCACACTACAGTGGGAACAGGGCTGAGAGAAGATATACTGGAGTCTCAGGATTCCTGATCACCCTCAACTTGGAAGATTTTATGACTGCCCGAGTCAGACCATCACAAAGGCGAAGAGGATGGCCTGACCCAGGACGGGGAGGGAGAGAAAGAGGGAGAGAGGGAAAGGGGGAGAGAGGGAAAAAAAAAATCCACTATGGCCAGAATATGGAAGGCTAGGGCAGACAGGGTCTTGTGAGGTAGGATCAGGAAGTAAACTATGTCCAGGGGACAATGAAGAGCCACAGAGAATGTCGGCCTGCCAGTAACTGCTGGAAATTCAATGAGAGCTGCACCTGTGTCTTAAGAAACACACTACCCCTCCCCCAAGGAACAGAGTGTGACTTCAGTTTCAACAAGGGAAGCCAGCCTCAGTCAACAGGGCACACTCCACTGAGAACTTGCGTTCAGGCCGGTGGGCCCAAGAAACAGAGGCCCCAGCCGCCATCCTCACAGCACTTGAGGCCGGAAGGGAGGTAGGATGCCAAGCAACACGGCCCCAGCTCTACCAGGGTGAAGGCCCTGGGGCCTGCATACGACTAGACTCCATGTGGTTTGCTGTAGCGAGGAAATGGAGTCACAAAGACCCACTGGATCCCAGATCCACATTTAGGTCACACTCCAACAATGCACCCATTTCTTTACCACTCAAAAGCATTCACTGAAGAATTTTAAGGTTTTTCAACCTTCAGAAGGCTGGACTTAAGCTGACATGGTTGATGGATGTGACATCTGGAGGTTAAAAAATTCCCATGTACTAATGAACCAGTTTCAGAAAAGTAAGTACAGCCAATCTCACAGCAAGGCAAACAAAGCAGCTAGGTAAACACAGCGTGTATGCAAAGCAGCCCAGCAGGGCTAGACGGGACACGAGCCTCACCTTCCTCAGCTCCTCCTCTACCTTCTTATCTATGGGGTTGGTGCAGGCCTTCTTCCATGTATGCACGGCAGCCTCCAGAGGTTGCACAGGTACCTCAGCGTCCTCAAAGTTGACAAAGATGGCGTTGTGGGGGCGTCGGGCCCTACTCAAGCCAATGAGGTTCTCGCCTGAAATGGTGGGGTTGCTGTAGCCTTCCCTGGGGGAGGGAAGGGGAGAGAGCTCTGAGGGCAGGAGCATGAGGACCACTCCAGGCACACGCCCGGCCAGGAGGCAGGAAACTCAGTAGGCCTACGGTGCTGGTGGCCCACACTGTGTGCCTCTTCCCTGGAGACCCAGTAAGGAGAGAATCTCAGCGCTGTCTAGTGAAGAATCACACACTCTAGACTGCCCAGTGGGAGCTGAGACTGCCGGTGGCCACTCAGAAGCTGTCCTGAGGCCCTGAAGGTGGGCAAGGTCCAAAGGTCCCAGAGACTGGGATGCAGGAAAGGGCACCTTTCACGAGACTGGTAGCCTTCCAATTGCAACTGCATCGAGTTCTGCATGGCATCGTCCAGCCAGTGAGAAGCTGGACACGATCTAAATGTCCATGAGCTGGGAAGTGACATTAGCTAAGGCACAGCCACACAAGAGAATCCAATCAGCTGTTAATTCAGTGACAAAAGCTACGCCTACTGACATTGACTTTTACATGACTCACTTATTTAACTTTCAAAACAATCCTACAAGGAAGAATTGTCTGGGGAAGTATCTGAGGCCACAGGAATTAGGAAAGTTGCCCAAAGAGCATGTGACAGAGGAGGTGGGACTCAGCCCCAGGGAGAGTGGCTGCAGCCCTCCCTTAGCCACCTGTCCTGCCACCTACCAGAGCGTGACTCTGGCTCAGAAGCAGCTGACGACACACAGGCAAACAAACAAAGGATGCTGCTGATGGTCTCGTCAGAGCGCAGAGGTTCAGAGCACGAGCTCTTCCTATCCACACCCACAGCACATCCAGCAGCAAGAGGGACTCTACAGAAACTACGATTCCAAGTGGTGACGTCATGCAGGTCTGTCCACTGGAACACATGGACCACTCCAGTGGGGATGTCAATAAGGGCTGGGTGTGCATTTCTCATATTTAGGGTATATGAGAAACCTCTGTACCTTCATCTGTGAACCTAAAACTGCTGCAAAAAAGTAAGTCTTAAAACACACATGTACATAAAGCAAGAGTTCTAGAACTCTGTATGAGTGTTGGCACAGAACACAACTAGGTGGATGTTTTCCAAAATACTTGCAGTTGTTACTTCTAAGGCTGGATGTCAGAAACATCAAAGAGAAGCAGGGAGACTGGTACCAAGAACCCTGCTATGTTCATCACCAGCTTCAACCATCACCGCTACCTCTACTTCCTCCATACCCACTCCAAACCACAACATTCCAAAGTGCATTTTAACAATTTCAGTCAGGTGATTAGTACCTTTAAATTTATTTCCTTTTTACCTTTTTTTTTTTTTCCTAAAACAGTCCCACTACTACGTCGCCTAGGCTGGCCTTGAACTCCTAGCTCAAGTGAGCCTCCTTGGCCCCCTGAGTTGCTGGAACAACAGACACATGCCCCCTGCCTGGTTTAGATTTTATCGTATTTTTGTACTTGAGTATATACCATCCTCATACAAAAAGAGTAACAAGCGATTGTCACAATGGGGAGCAAAATTTGAAACACGGGATCGAGCCTGCTTTTTTCAAATGTGCCTGTCAGTAAAGCCATCTCAGGTAGGTGGCAACTTTATCTTGCTTTCCAAGATCCCTCTCTGAGGCCCTGACATCCCCAAGGAAGGCAGGTGGCCCACAGTGGCCTTAAAGAACAGCAGACAGGAGGGGCCAACTGTGCTGGTCCCTGCAGGGAAAGGCCCTGGGCTGCCTCTGTTGACTCTCTCTATCTCCAGCTGGAGTCCATGGAGGGCCCCTGAAGAACAGATGTTGAGCAGGATTCAACAACCTGCCAGACTCCCAGCCTCCCCTCTGCTCCCCACCTTCAACCTCCCAAGAACCAGGGAGGGGCCTGTGAGGTGACAGCCAGGCCTGGTTCCCCCTGGAAGGCCAGCACTGCACAAAAATCTATAGCAGCCTTGGGAAAAAGGACAGGTTGTTTCCACATGCTGGAAAATCAACAGATCACATGTGGAAGATGAAGGGCCTAGGGCTCAAGGGTGGCTGGCCCTATTCCCTTGTCCCACCCCAGAAGCTTGGAAATAGCTCCTGCTGGCCCCACAGACAGGGCAGGCACTTCTGGGCTACCACCCAGTGCCAGGGTGCAGCACAGAAGGTGTTTCCCTTTCTTCTTCTGTATCTTTGTTTGTTTCCATCTACAGGAGTAAATTGCTTGTGGAAGGAAAAAAAAATCAAAATATTTCAGATATATGTAACGTTAAAGCAACAGTCATTATCCCTCATCCCATACACCTCAGCTTAAAACTCTCACACTGGGCACACTACACTTATGGAAATGTGTATCATTCCACAGACAGGGTTTTCAGCAGGAAGGTAATGTCACTTTGTTCTTTTTAGTTATTTTTTCACAATAGTTGCTTTTTCCTAGCAAGCACAATTTACTAATTCACAGAACCAGAAAAATAGCTGGGGACAGGGTAGGGGTGTGTGACAGATCAAACAGACAGACCTAGGGGACATCAACTAAAAGCAGTGCCTGGAGCCCTCTTCTGGCTCCTGTGCTGCTTTTGAAACAACTGGGGAAACTAAGCAAGGTCTGGCACAGTGTGTCCTTATTTCTGGGGTGCTGGGCCATATTCCTGCTGCAGGCATGTTTAGAAATGCACTCAGACTTGTTTTTTTTTTTCCAATGGGACTGGGGTTTGAACTCAAGGCTTTCGCACTTGCAAAACAGGCATTCTACTGCTTGCGTTACACAGTCTGTTTTGATCTGGTTATTTTGGAGATGGGGAGGAGGTCTCGTGAATTATTTGCCTGGGCTGGTCTTGAACCGCACTCCTCCTGATCTCAGCCTCCCAGTTAGCTAAAATTGCAGGCCTGGCTCAGGCTTGCTCCTTGAAGCAGGCTGTGCTGCTGGGGTGGGGACGGGGAACAAGGAAACAGGAGTTAGGATGTTGCGCCCTTATGATGGGCAGATGAGGGTCTCTTACATAATTCAATTCTCTAACTTGCCATAATTAAAAAAACAAATTTTTTTTGAGGCTGGGTCTTGCTACGTTCTATATACTGGTCTTGAACTCCTCGGCTCAAGCGATGCCCCTGCCTCAGCCTCCCCAGTAGCTGGGACCACAGGCAAATGCCACCATGGCCCACTCATAGTATTTTCCTTAAAGCAGAGAACAATGCCCCTCTTAAGATGAGACCTAAATTTGTTGCCATGGTCTAGGAGACCAGACCTCTAATACCCTAATACCCAAATACCAGTGGCACCAGCTCCAGAAGCCTCCTCTTCATGTACCAAACCCCTGGTCTGGAACACTGTTCCTGAAACTTCACCTGCCCGGCCCTGTTCATCAGCTCCTCCAAGGGCCTCTCTGGTCCCCAGTCCAGAATGGAGGAGCCTCATTGCCATGTGGTCTCCTGACATCAGTGTTCAAGGAGTACCTTGGGCCACAATAGATGGTCAGGACTTAATGAAGGAAAGTTTATGAGGAGAGGGTAAGTTCCTGCCCTCCCACCCTCCAGAGATAACCATTCTGATCCCATCTTCCAGACTTTTGAGGTGTCTACTATCACAGTACAGTTAATTTTTATGCCACCAAATCCGCTCCAGCACCTGACTTTTTCACAGAGCAAGGAAACTTGTACCACGTCAGTACACGGAGCCCCATCTTCTGAAGACTCTCAAAACCAACTACAGGGAAACTCTTTGAGGAACATCACCACCTACTGCCCATTTAGCAAATGTTTTCCTTTTGCTTATTTGTCAGTACTAATCTTCCTACCCAAAAGCTTCCTTCACAAGCCCACAAATACAGCAAAGTGCCTCTCAGGGTAGGCTTTGATCTAGGTACCAAGGTTATAGCAGAGAACAAAGCAGGCCAAATTGCTACCTTTGGGGAACTCACAACAGAGTGAGAATTTTTTTTGAATGTCTTAGTGTATGTTTTTTTAAAAGAAAACATACAAAAATAAGGGCAGTGTAGCACTAAGGATCAAGCAAGGCCCAAACAGCGAGCAAGACTGGGTTCAGTGCTTCTCATGTGGCCTGGGAACTGCAAAAGGTCTCAACTTCATTTGTAAAATGGGGGTGACAGAGCAGGTGAGTTGCTGTAAGGCCTGGACAAAGCAACAGCAGCGTTTCCCCATGGGTATGCTGATTAACTCCAGCAGGGCTGGTGAATGCTGCTAATCTCAAGTTGGCTATTTGCAAAGTCTTTTTTTTTTCATTTTTTTCCATACTATTCAGTATTGGCTTTTCTACACAAGAGATCCTACTCTTTCACATCAATGTGTGACTGGCCTCCAGGGAAAAACCAACATTTGCCAATGCCAGGCCTGCCTTTCCAACCACCCATGGGGCTCTCTACTATGTCAATATTGTCTAAATTGAAGAGTTTATTTTATTTGAATTACATGTGACCTTATTAGGGATGTGCCCATCTGGTTTTTCACAACCTTCCATGCAGGAGAAGCCCACCTCTGATTACAGAGAGGCCTACATTCCAGAGGGGACAAGATAGAAACTATAGCCAAGTTCAACTGCGTAAGATCCAGAGAAAGTCATGGTCAGCTTGAGGGGACAGCACTGGGAGATGGATGGGGGATTGGACAGTCTTGGAAGCAACTTCATAAGCAGACAGGAGGCGGCAAAGCAAGGGCAAACTGGGGCTGAGGTTCTGTAGGTGAGCGTGGCAAAGGAAACAACAGAAAAGGACAGATAACAAAGATGGCCATGAAATCTCTACCTCAGATGGGAGCAGCAAGGCCATGAGGTGGGTGAAAGAGGAAAAGGGCTAGGGGCAGAATGTGACATTCTCAAATGGCATTTCTTAGTATGTCATTGCTGGTGTCTACAGGTCCAGAGAGTGGCTGGTCAGCAATGACCTGGAATTAAACCAACTAGATCATTGTTTTTTTTTTTTTCCCAGTACTGGGGTTTGAACTCAGGGCCTCACGATTGCTAGGCAGGTGCTCTACCACCTGAGCCACTCCACCAGCCCAAAGAGACCATTCCTTAGCCAGAACCCTCAAATCCCACAGCCAAGTTCTCTGTATTTCAGGGGTCCCTAGGACAAAGCCAATCTAGTGATCAGCAGGTCACTGCTTATGAAGAGCTTCTACTATCCTGAGGACATGTGATTTTTTCAATTTAATCCTAATTCTTGAGTAATACTATTGTTATCCTTTTTTAAAATGGGAAACTGAGGACAAGAGGCACCTCTGAGGCCTCCTAACTTGGAGCCTTAGCCCCAGGCCCTCTGGCTGCAGCACTCTTGCTATTCCTGATGTTGCACTGAGGAGGGTCCTTACCGATGCTGTGTCTCTGGGCGATAGAAGTAGTCCACTGGAGTGTCCAGCCGGGAGAAGATGGGTGGAGGGATGTAGAGCGGCAGCTCCTGGTGGAAGAAGGCCTCCTTTTCAGGCCTGAGCATGAGCACTTTGTCATACATGGACACGTGCCCGCCGCCGGCCTCTGTGTGCACTGCCAAGTACTGGAAGTCAGACATCCCTGGAAAGAAAAGTGGGCAGATGGCAATACTGCTACCAGGGATAGTTGCCCAGGAACTGGCAGCTGCCACACCGACACCACATCCTTTCAAGGAGGTGCTAAGTGGCCATGCAGCAACCATCTTCCAGTGCATGTGCAAATCAGCTGGGTGCAACCCAAGTCACTTCAATATAAAGTGATAGACGAGCTCAGGACAGTCAGGGTAAAGTCCAGGACAGGGCTGCTTCTTTTTTTTCCCCTTTGGCAGTATGGGGGTTTGAACTCAGGGCCTGACGCTTGCTAGGCAGGTGCTCTACCATTTGATACACTCCACCAGCCCTGTTTTATTTTGGGTATTCTTGAGATAGAGCCTCAAAAAATATGTGCCTAGGTTGGCTTTGAACTGTCATCTTCCTGATCTGTGCCTCCTGAGTAGCCAGAGCAGGGCTTCTTAAAACACAGCATAAAATCACCTTGGGCCTGGCTACATGCAGCTTCTCAGGTGCTGCCTTTCCACCAAGCTCCAGGGCCATAGGCTCGATTAAAAGGAGAAAAGTACCACATATAGTAATTTAGGAGTCATTTGGAAGTCTCTGTACCAGAAAGAGCAGTCCTTGCTAGTGAATACCCCATTCTACCATGATGGCTGGCACCAATGCCCGGCCTGGGAGACCCCAGGTCCTGTTCCCCATCTCTGCACTTTCCTCTTCCCCTCTTTCCTCCTTCAAGTCCGCTTTTCCTTTCTCAGTCCTTAGTTGCTTCAGCTTCTGCCTTAGAATGGCAGCTGTCACTACAGACATGTCTAAGGTGTTTGGTAATTTGCCAAGCACCTTCCATGTGCCTGGGCCCACCCCTTTAACAGGCACTATCTCTCTGAATCTTCTTGAGGGCTTCATGAACTGTGCTGTGCAACCTCCACAGTACAGACAAGGAGACTGAGCTGAAAGAAGCCAAGCCACACACCCAAAGAAATACGTGGCCCAGGCAGAAACAATTCCAAAGTCCATGCTCTCTTTGACCTAGCCTCTCAGCCCCTGCCTACCTGCCCCCTTCCTGGGGTACCCTGTAAGTAGCAAACTTGACTCAGGACCCCTCAGGAGATATCCAGTTCAAATGAGAATGAGATGCATGGAGCTGAGGTCAGTTAGGAAGACTTCAGAGAGGTGGTGAGGCTAGCAGGTGTTAAAACTGAAAGAGGAGCCGGGTGTAGTTCCATACTTCTATAATCCCAGCAACTTGAGAGGCTAAGCCAGGATTACTTGACCCTTGGAGTTCCAGACCAGCCTGTACAACCCAACAAGACCCATCTCATTAAAAAAGAGTGGGCGTGGAAGGGAACTGGGGATGTGGTTCAAGTTGTACAGTCCCTGCTAGCAGGGACAAGGCCCTGAATTCAAACTCAAGTACCACAAACAAAAGACTGAGAGAGGGCTCCAAAACACTGAAGCTACCAGTTTGATGTGGCCCCACACAATGGTTTTACTTAAAGCTAGGAGACTTCTCATAGAATTCTATTATTTGTAGCTTTTAAGAACACAGAAGGTTGTATAGCAGTGGGCCCATGGTCTCCAAGTTACAGCTGGTTGGAGGGAGGAAAGGTCACTTCTGGAATAGGGCCTGTGTCCTCCCTGCCCCTTAGGCCTGGTGCCCCTTAGCCTCTGTCCCTGGTGCAGATGACCCTGGCGACTTCACGGCAGGCATTAAATAACCCTTCCCCACGAGACATCTTGCAGTTACCCTGAAATTTGTAAATGGTGGAGACAATGCCAAGGATCTCCATGTCAAACGTGACCTCGGGGTTGGCCTCAGCACCCAGCTCCCCTTTCCGTCGCCTTGTTCTTTTCTTGATCCGGAGCAGCAAGCTGCTGGTACTGAAGCGGTTGGCACACACAGGATGACAGTATGGGTCCTTGGGCCGGAAGTATAGTTCTAGCCTCTTGGTGGGGTCCATGTAGATCTACAGCAAGACAGAGGGACACAGAGAGAAGCAATGAGCAGCCGAGCACACAGCAGGAAGCAGCTCCTCTCTCCACAAAGCCTGACCATGACCCAGCTAGGAAGAGTGAGGAACTCATGTTTCCTCTGAGCTTTTAATTCCCCAAAGACTCTTTTTTTTTTGGTGGTACTACTGGAGTTTTTTGAACTCATGGCCTTGCACTTGCTAGGTATGCACTCTTCCACTTGAGCCACACCATCAGTCTCCCAGACTCATTTTTTTTAAACTTTAAGTGTCTCTCCATGTTTGTGTAGTAGAGAAAATGAGGATAAACAGTATCCTTCCTACCAATAGGTTGTAAACTGAGAGATAACAGCCAATTAAATAAAAGCACCATCTATCAAGTGACTCTTCAGTGTGGCGCACAAGGGGACTTTCTTAGCAATGCTCCACGGGCAGTCTCAGGGTTGAGCTACTCGTCTAGGGCTACTACTCCAGGAACCATCCGGCCCTTGCTCCAGGGCTGAATACAGTATTCAGTCTCTTATGCAGATGTTTCTAGGTCCAAAGGGGAGTAAATCAGTCAGTAATAACCAATTTTGCATTGACTAGCTATTGCCCAGAGCTTTCAAGGCCCCAGCTCTTTCTCCTTAAAAACCCTACAAATACAGGCAGAATGGCTCAACTGGTGAAGTGCCTGCCTAGCAAGCGTGAGGCCCTGAGTTCAAACCCCAAACCACCAATAAATAAATAAATAACCTAAAACACTCAATAATAAGTCCATACCTCATACAGCTGTTACAATGATTAAATGAAAGTAGGCTTAATGCACTTAGCCTGGTACCTAACTTCTGGTAAACTCTCAATACCTCGCCTACATGTGAATGAATGCTTCCCTCATACAGGGTAAGACACAATGAGTGTCAGTTGCGTGTGTTTGAAAGCACCATCAACGTTCATGAGGTCACCCACGTGCTAGTCTGGGTCCTTGCTCTCAGGGAGTCCACAGTCTCAAGGCCAACTTGCTAAACCACAATATGTCAAAACGAAAATTTCAGACTGGAATTAACAGGATGAGAAGGCAGATATTAACTGTCAGAGGCAACTTAGGTTAGGCAGTCAGAGAAAGCCTTTCTAAAGATGAGACATCTCTAGACTCGGCACACATAAGCTGGGCATGGTGGTGCACGCCTGGAACCGCAGCACTGGAGAGGCCAAAGCAGGAGGATTGCGAATTCCTGGCCGGCCTGGGCTACACAGCACGACACTGTCTGAAACAAAACAAAACTATCTGGCACATGTAAAGCATAGACAGAACCTTATCCCACTTCCGATACGTGCTGTGAGGCCTTGAAGAGGCCACACTTTGACAGTTCCTACCCTTGCAGGTTCTAAGAAGGAATGATAAGTAAACAGCTAGAACGTATCTGGCACAGTAAAGATGTCTGCTAGTAAGACCACTTTTAACCTTGCGGGACTGCAGCTGAATTCATGGCACAGATGCCGAAGGTGTGGGGCATAGATATTTGGGGTCAGGATGGGAAAGATCTCCCAGGGAAATCAAAGCCCCGCCCACTGGCCACCCCAGAGTCCGCGCCATTCTTCGTTGCCAAGGAAACCAGTCCCAGCCAGGTGTTCCCGCCCCTTAGGCCGTAGTCCTACAGCTAGGCCCCTCCCGCATCGTCCCGGAGATTCCCAGCCCCTTACTCGGGAAACGCCTTCCTCGCCGCCCAGAGTGTGCAGCATCTTGGTCACGTCGCGCACCACGCCCGGGTACTCCACGCACACTAAGCGCCGCTCCCGCCGCAGCTCCACAGGGACTGCAGCCCTCGGCCCCGCGTCCGTCGCCTCCGTCGCCATCCCTACCAGTTCGGCCCGGCCCGCCACGGTCCTTCTCTCAAAGCGCTCCCAGAGGCCTCGCCTCGATGGTTCCGCGAAGGAATTGTTCCGGCCTCCCTCACCGCTCACCCTAAGTCCTTGGGTTCAGCGAGACTTGAAGACCCCCGGGGAGCAAAGGCCGGTGGGGAGGCCCCAAGGACTTCAAGATGACAGGGCCCCCCCAAGGACTTCAAGAGAACAGGTACGTCCCCGACTTTTTGTTTAAAATGAAGAGGGTTGGACAAAGGGGTGGGACGAGGGCTTCTCTCTCCTACCCAGAGCTCGATTTTAGCCAGTGAGACCCCACGGCTGAGTTTTTGACCAATGAGGAGTCCGTAGGTAGCCACGTTCCTCTCTTTCCCCTCCTGCTCGCTTCCGGGGATTCCGCCCAATGAGAGCTTGGGGGCGGGCCCAGGCCAGACTTCCGGCCCGCCTCCTGGCGTGGAAAGGTTCGAGCGGTGGGTTGGTTTCTCTCGTCTGTGAGTCGCCTCTGTTGGGTTCCGACCTCAGGTGCGGGGACCAGGTTTCTAACAGCAGGCAAGAAGTTTTGTGCGGAAATGTCGGGAGGGAGAGAATTGTGGGTTAAGTGCTCGCCGTACCTTCACACCCAGAAGACTCGGAAGCACCGGGAGCTGGGGTCAGGATGCAGGCGTCCCCGTTCCTGTATGAGACAGGCATACATTAAGCGCCTGCTGTGTGCTGGCCACTGCGCACAAGCATAGTTGTCGAGGTGAGCGGCTGGTGCGAAGCCCGAAAGCCAGGAACAAAGGCGGGGAGATCAGGGTTAGACAGGTCGGGAAAAGGATGAAAGGCAGGTCCCCCCTCCCCCATACACGGGGGTCGACGGATTTGAAGAGTTTTATGCCAAAAGAGCTATGATCATTTTATGCATTTATGTGTGGAGAGTGGATCAGAGAGGGCAAAGTGGGTAATCCAAGTAAGAGATGGGGAAGTGGCAGTGAGGGTGGAAAGAAGGGCTTGAGTTGAGGATGTTAGGACATAAAGATCAGAAGGACAAGCGACCCCTTGGGTATGGGCACCCCAAGTTTCTGAAATGATGGGTTTAAGAAAGCAGCATAAATGACTGCAAGGTTTAGTCCACGAAATACATTTTTAAAATAAGTAAATAAAGGCATGACCTAGTGTCTTGGCTGCTCACCCAGGAGCCCCACACCTTTGAAAGGCCCTTTCTGAGAGTACAATGTGGAATCCACCAACAGCAAGGGATGGGTGAGCTGCCAGAACCGCATATTTCAACAGAGAGCTGTAGATAAGGTCTTGACGGTTCCCCACCTGCCCTCTCAATGGAGACTTGTGCATTCTGCCACAAAGGAGATTCTGGGGAGTGAAGCCCTGTTACTTTTTCAGAATTCCCCACACCCTGAGATGAAATTTCCTTTCAAATTTCTCCTGTCCTTTTGTTTTGTGCTCTCCAGGAAATCTTGTGATGGTTTGATTTTTCCAGAAAGGAGAATCTGAATACCATATATACAGTAAGCCCACCTTATTCACAGATTCATTACATGCAGTTTTGATCAAGTATGGGCAAAAACTAAATTTTAAAAATCAAAAGAAATTTCAAAAACAAAATATTTTAATTTCCGCACGTGCATTACACAGCTCAGTTGGTGCAGAGAAGCTCTCAGTCAATCTGAGGATATCATCAGTTGTGTTGAAGTCGTCATCTGATCTGCTCAGTGTTTCCCTGACCTTAATTTTGTGAAAATCTGCCTCCCCAAAAGGAAGTGGTGCCAGTCAAGCAATGTAAAAGTTAATGTGTTTAATTTAGGTGACAAAATGAAAATTTGAGATTTCAGGCATCTGCACTACAGTACTGAACTCTAATGCATTCTGAGCATTCGCTGTTTTTCGCCAGCAGTCTCTTTGGAACCACATACTCTCGGATACCCCTGCCTGCAGTTGTAAATTAATAAATAAATGTATTTATATCATCAGATTCTTGTAGGTTTGGGACACATGAGTCACTATCAGCAGAGTTAGTATGTAAAATATTGGATGTGCATCGCATGCAGTATTTGGAATGTATTAATATTAAACATTTATTCATTGTTCATCTGAGGTTCTACTATAGCTATGTGTGTTTTTCTTTCCTAATAGGAATTAGGATCCCTCTTAGGAAATACAACTCTAGTAATGAAAATGGCCCTGTCCTGAGCTCTAGCCACAGGAGAAGGTCTGTCTCCTAGTGTCAGGAACTGGGTACACACCTTAATTTATGTATGCACTATTTCCTAGCTTTTGTTTCATCTTTTCTGTAAGTCATAACAGTGCTGTGGGCAAGGCGGAGACAAATTAAGAATTTTTTCTCTTCCCCAATTTTGGCCAAAACTATAAATTCATTTTTTCCATAGACAGCTGGATACAGATACACTTTTTCTCTTAATGCAAGTGAGCATTCAAACCCAAAGCCTAGCTTTGTGGTTGGGAGTTCCACTAACACTACTTCTGGGTGTGAAGGAATTGAGATTCTGAACCTAGAAAGTAGATTACAAACTACCTGGAACCTTAGGAGCCTGCCTTTCCCTCTAGGTTTTCTGCTGTAATCTATTCTCCTTAGGGAAGCAAAAGTGATCTTTCTAGAATAAACTCTCCCTCCATCCCTGTCTCCAGTGGCTCCCCTCTACCACCATGACCACCACTGCCGCCAGGATGATTGCTCCTCATCTCCTTCAGGTTTCTACATAAGACTTCCTCCTGCCTGGGGCTCCTCCCTGATCCCATAAGATTAGTTTGGTGTTGTCCTCTGTGCCCAAGGCACCCAAAGTCACCTGCCATGGGTCTGCAGCACTGTTTCTTTCATTTTTACTGGCCCCCACTTCTCCTCCACTAGTGTGGCAGCTTCCTTAGGTCAGGGACTACTTCAGTCTAGTTTAACAGTGGCTTCCCAGGCCCTGGCACAGAGCTGGGCACAAAGCATGTGCTCAGGAAAGATTTACTGAATGAGTCACTTGACTCATTTGAGTGTTCAGTGCATTTTAGCTGTTTTCCTGCCATCAGCCATGCCAGACACATTTTCCCAACAGGTCCCAGCACACTCCTCCAGACCCAGGGAGTCACAGGTGAGTTCTTCACCAGGCCAGGCCCTCCCTGGGTAGCTAGGGCATCCTGGCAGATGGGACAACCAGGTCCCTAATGCCCTTTCATCCATTGGCCTGCCCAAGTATTAAGGACATGCAGTGCCCAGTCCTTAATTGTCCCAATGTCCAGCTGAATACCAGCCCATGCCTCCATGTACTGACTTGGGGAGAACACACAGCCGTCCTGTCCTTTGAGGTGACCCAGGGCAGTGGAAGGGGCTGCTGGATGACTAGCAGGGCCAAATCCCATGGGACAGGAGTGGTGGGGAGCAGCCTGGCCATTCTGGCCTTCCTAATTCCTTGATACCTGTTTCCTGTCCAGCATCTGAATACTGAATGCTCTTGGGGGAAGCTACTTCTAGGGGAGAGGGGGGACGCACAGCACAGAAAATAATAATTCTTCGGGTTCCAGAATCTGAGTATTCTTTCCGGAGCCTCTAGGTCAGTCAATGGAGCACATAGGGAGTGTTTAATATTCCTCAGATCTTCCTCACCTACTCCTGACACCCGATGCAGGAGTAGTGTTTACTTTTGGTCAGGAGATGGCGACAGAGCCTCCGTGTAGAGAACACCTCTACCTAGTGGTGATGTTTATGGACACCTGAAAGAAAAGGCCAGGGCCCAGGGAATTTGACAGCCTCCTGAAAGGTGTGTGCTGGACCAGGGGTCAGCATCCTGTTCCCTAGGTAGCTTGGGGCACCCATCAGTTCCCACCATGCACACTTACATGCAAGCTCAGGTTCAGGAACTCACACAGTATCATCACTGGATGACGAATGATGGGACCTGGGCATGGGGTCTACACAGAAGTCTTACAGTTTACTTTCAAGTGGAACAAACTGTTCAAAAGGTCATTCTCCTTCATAATCCACTTTTCTTTCCAAAGCAAAGTGAAACCAAATACAGACAGGACTGGATTTGAAAGTTTGTTCCTACAGTATATGTTGCCAAGTTAAATATTTTCGCAAATGTGTCTGACAGAGGCAAACTTACAATGAAGCAAATAAAACTTAAGCATCCAGGCTAAAATATTAAAAACAAAACAAGGTACTATTGCATGTGCCCTTTTTGAAGGCCCTAGGAGGTCACTTCTCATTGTTCCCATGACAAGTGTTTTTATAAAGGCTGAAAAAAATAAGATATTTGAGCTGCCATTGATTAAGACAGCTGTGCCTTTCCTGGTCTCTACCATGCTTCCCTTGTGTTTGGAGACACAAATCACAGGTGTGTGGGGTATTTGACTAAGGAGAGGTAATCTAGGAGTGCAGTTAGTTTAGATTGAATGGAATAGGTAGGTGTGATTTGCAATCATTTCTATGTGTAGTAAATCATTGCTGGTCATCATATGTAGGAATGGCCTCCAGGAATACACAGTCCTTCCTCAGTCTGTGATAATTTACTGGTGCTGTGACATCAAAGTCTAGGACCAAAGGAGATACAGTTCTCGGAGCTGTAATCCAGACTCGGAAATTCCACCAATGAGCAGACATGTAAAACTGAAAAGGGGGAAGGTAAAATGTGGGAAACCGTATGGCATTTTCTCAGAAAATTTAAAAAGAATTGCCATATGGTGCAGCTGTTGCACTGGGTATATACATCCAAAAGCACTGAAAGCAGGGTCTCAAAGAGCTGTTTGCACACACGTAGTCATAGCAGCGTAATTCCCAATATCCAGAAGTAGAAGCAACCTGTGTCCATCAATGGACAGATGGATAAAAAGAGTAAGGTCTATCCATGAATGGACTATTGTTCAGCCTTAAAAACGAATGGAACCCCAACACATGCTACAACATGGATGAACTTTGAGGTTATAATACTAAGCTATAAAACGGCAAACACCATATGGTTCCAATTGCATGAGGTCCCTAAAGTCGTCAGAGTTGAAGAGACAGAAGGTAGAATGATGGATGCCAGGGACTGAGAGAGGGGTAACAGACAGTTAGGGTCTAATGGGGACAAAGGTGCAGTTGAGCAGGATGGAAAAGCCCTGTGGACGGATGGTGTGATAGTCCTACAACAGTGCATATCCTCAACACTACTGAAAACACCACTGAAGAATGGTTAGGATGGTAAGTTTTATGCTGTGTGTGTTTCACCACAAGTTTTTAAAACAGACTAGCTGCAGATTTGGCT